CGTCATTTAGTCGAATGGTAAAACCATCAAATAGTCCATTCGTCGAATGCTCAAATAGTCGAAACGCCATCTGTTCGAATTATCAAGTAGTAGAATGGTAAAGTTGTCGAATGTTCAAAACGTCGAATCGTCATCTGTTCGAATTGCCAAGTAGTAGAATGGTAAAGTAGTCGAATGGACAAAAAGTCGGATCGCCATCTGTTCGAATTATCAAGTAGTAGAATGGTAAAGTTGTCGAATGTTCAAAACGTCGAATGATAAAAACGTCGAATGCTCAGAACATCGAACTGTCAATTCATCGAATGCTCAAAACGTCGAATGATAAAAACGTCGAATGCTAAAAACATCGAATCATCAAAAGTTCGAAAAAGTTCTTTGTTTTAAGTTAATGTCTACTGAAAACAAAGAACTTTTTCGAACTTTTGACGATTCGATGTTTTTATCATTCGACGTTTTGAACATTTCGACGAACTGACTATTCTATGTTCTGAGCATTCGACGATTTGAGAATTCGATGTTTTTAGCATTCGACGTTTTGATCATTCGACGTTTTGAACATTCGACGAATTGAGAATTCGATGTTTTTAGCATTCGATTAAATGAGGATTCGATGTTTTTAGCATTCGATGTTTTTAGCATTCGACGTTTTTATCATTCGACGTTTTGAACATTTGACGTATTGACAATTCGATGTTTTTAACATTCGACGAATTGATAGTTCGACGTTTTGAACATTCGTCGTATTGACGATTCGATGTTTTTAACATTCGACGAATTGATAATTCGACGTTTTGAACATTTGACGTATTGGCAATTCGATGTTTTTAGCATTCGACTAAATGACGATTCGATGTTTTGAACATTCGACAACTTTACCATTCTACTACTTGATAATTCGAACAGATGGCGTTTCGACTTTTTGTCCATTCGACTACTTTACAATTCTACTGCTTGGCAATTCGAAAAGATGACGATTCGACGTTTTGAACATTCGACAACTTTACCATTCTACTACTTGATAATTCGAACAGATGGCGTTTCGACTATTTGAGCATTCGACGAATGGACTATTCGATGGTTTTACCATTCGACTAAATGACGATTCGACGTTTTGAGCATTCGACGTTTTGAACATTCGACGTTTTGAACATTCGACGAATTGAGAATTCGATGTTTTTAGCATTCGATTAAATGAGGATTCGATGTTTTTAGCATTCGATGTTTTTAGCATTCGACGTTTTTATCATTCGACGTTTTGAACATTTGACGTATTGACAATTCGATGTTTTTAACATTCGACGAATTGATAGTTCGACGTTTTGAACATTCGTCGTATTGACGATTCGATGTTTTTAACATTCGACGAATTGATAATTCGACGTTTTGAACATTTGACGTATTGGCAATTCGATGTTTTTAGCATTCGACTAAATGCCGATTCGATGTTTTTAGCATTCGGCGTTTTGTCCATTCGATTACTTGGCATTCGACTATTTGATCATTCGACGACTTGGCGATTAGGGAAATATGCATGCGTCTTGAATTTAAAAGTTTCGAAAAGTTTGTTGGTAAACATTTATGCAGCAGGAAATGCAGATTTTTGGTAACCTGAATGTCTAAATTAAAATGTATTTATCGAGAAGACATCTAGGAACATTTCTAGAGAATTAGGCATAATTTCTGGATGAAGTTCAATTCAACAATTGCAGAATATTTTTCTCTTGGACGCAGGCCTGCTAGGACATAATACAGTATTGTATTTCCGTTGTGCTTTGGCACAATATTAATCCTGCTGCTTCGATAGATGTAGTAGGCGATGACAACTGCGCCGAAAGGGGATGTGTAGAATGATTTGCTTCCTGTCTATCGAAGTAACGAAGCCTGCGAAGGCGCGCTGCCTTGCAGGGGGACGTTCGGGTGTGAGGATGATACCGTAGTGTGTCCGACGATGATATTTATATTCCAGATGGTTATCAGGAAGAAAAGGTTAAAGAAGGCTTTACGCAAGAAGACCTTAGCAACCTCATCAGAGATTTGAAATTACCCAATGATGGAGCACAATATCTAGCTTCAGTTTTAAAAAAAGAAAAATTTGTTATCTAAAGGCACCACAGCTTACTTTTATCGTGACAGAGAAAAGAAATTTTGGAAGTATTTTACAAAAGGCGATGAGCTTTCATTAGTATATTGTTCTGACATTGAAGGACTAATAAATGAATTGAAACCAAACGTATATGAAGATCAACATTAGAGGTTATCCATTGACTCTTCTAAAAGAAGTCTAAAGGCAGTGCTAATTCATAACACTAATGTTTTTGCTTCAATTCCCGTAGCCCATTCCACTGAACTTAAAGAAGATTATTAAACTGTCAAATTAGTTTTGGAGAAAATTAAATATAATAAACACAATTGGCAAATTTGTGGGGATTTTAAAATTATAAGTATCATGTTGGGCCAACAAGCAGGTTTTACGAAAACACCTTGCTTTTTATGTTTGTGGGACAGTAGAGATCGAAAAAACCATTACGTACAAAAAGAATGGCCCAAAAGAACATCCTTTACACCAGGTTCCAAAAATATTATAAAAAACCTCTAGTTGAACCTACAAAGGTAATTCCACAACCTTTACATATTAAATTAGGGGTAATGAAACAGATTGTAAAGTCTTTAGATAAAGAAGGGAAACGTTTCAAGTACCTGGAACAAAAATTTCCAGAGATATCTGATGCTAAATTAAAGGAAGGAATTTTTGTTGGGCCTCAAATTCGCAAACTAGTAAAAGATGAAAAATTTATCACAGTAATGAGTAAAAAGGAGAAAGCTGGATGGCTTAGTTTTAAGGGAGTTATTGAAAACTTTCTTGGCAACCATAAGAGCGAGAAATGGGAACTAATAGTGAATGGTATGATCAAAAACTTTCAAAAATTGGGATGCTTGATGAGTTTGAAGCTCCATTTCCTACATTCACATCTAAGTTACTTTCCAAAAAATTTAGGAGACTACAGCGAGGAACAGGGAGAACGGTTTCATCAAAATATTAATGAAATGGAGAGCAGATATCAAGGCAGATGGGACGTAAATATGATGGCTGACTATTGTTGGATGCTAAAAAGGGATATTGTTTCATAAAGAGTAAACTTAAAAAGAAAACCACTGCACAGGTCTTTCGAAGACAAACAAGTCCGTTACCATAAACAGACATAAATGAAAATTACATTATTTTCAAACGGACATATTGATTTTTCAAAATCTAATTGAAGATTTGTTATCATCGATCCGAAAAACCACTGAGTACCCATTTTAAAGCAAAATAAATCAATTTTCAAAAAAATGACCGCCATATAATCAGCGATCCCAAAAACCCCTATATACCAAGAAAAGTGAAAATCCAACAAATTTTTAAAATTTGGCCGACATATTGCATTCGCCATTTAAAATTTTTAAAAACTGACTGCAGATTCGTAATCAGCGATCTTAAAAACCCCCGAGAAACAAGTTTGAGACAAATCTAATCAATTTTTTAAAAATGTTGTATTTTACATAAATTACATAAAATCTGACATGTTTTTTGAGGTTAAAAAAAAATCCTGATGTGATAGAGCAAATCTGACTTCGGATTCATGTTCAGCGCATCAAAATACATATGGGTATGGTACTGTGGACTTTCGCGCAGGGTACTTTTCTTTTTTTGTGGGGCTGTGTGATGGTACAAATGAGAATGATCCAGTGATAATGGAAGTTCTTACTGACGGTTCTGAATTGTTCAACGAGAAAAATTCCGATCAGGCCAATATGCCAGTTGAAGAAAATTGTACAGCTTCAGAAAATAAACAAAAATCTTCTGAAAATGTATCTGCATCGAATAATGTTTCAAACCAACTGACCGAAAATAATTATGCAAGCTGTTCTATCGTTTCTAACTCAAAGAGCTCAGATAAAAATACCTTGAACAATATTCTAGTTTGTTCATAAGCAAAATTTTCAAAAAAATTAGGTAAACCAAAGGAAAAACTGCCATCAGTATTGACTTCAGACACTTGGTTAAAAGTGATGCATGAAAAGGAAGAAAAGAAACAATTAAAGTTAAAAAAGAAAAAAGAAGCAAAGACACTAAGGTTGAACAACAAGGAAATGAAAGAACAAATTAAATTAACAGCAAAAACGATAAAAAAAAGAAAAACAGAAAGTACAAAAATTATTACATCAATCAGCGAAATTTAAAAAATAGTTAAAAAGTAGATTGATCTTTAAAAATATTTGTTTTTAAGAATATTCATTTAAAATTAAACGCAAATAATAATTGAGTTGTGATTTATAAAATGTTTATATTTTTCGTTAATGAATTAAAAATATCTATTTACTTTGTACTTATTTATAAATATCCTGCAATTTAAAATAATAAAATATTACTGTTTTTACAAACTAACCATCTAATAATTATTGTGAGTGATTGTTAAATATTTTTCAGGTGCATTGAAATAATATTCGTTTCCATTAAATTTTATATTGACTTAAAATGATGTTTTCTGTGAAAAAGAGTAAAATTGCACAAAATTGGATATATTTGCCTTAAATATATTCGCTTTTATTCCTTGTGTGCATAAATTTTCTATTAGTTTTTGTTACTGGCCAAAAATAGTACTACGTGGCCACAACTGGAGACAAAGTGGCCAAAACTAGCAAACTTAACATTTTTATACATTTATAGTTTTATTATATTATAAATATTTTTTTAACCCTTAAATATAACAAATTTAAAAACTAGAAATAATAATTAATCTATAAATGAGCGCCGGTAGCTAACTTTTTACAAGTAACATAAAAAAAATTGTCCTGAAAATTGTGAAAAAGCTAAAAGTGGCCAAAACTGGTGCATCTACCCTACATAACTTTTTAAGGTTTTAAAAGAAATCATAATTATCGCTCTAAACTTGTTCACTGTCAGCTTCATTATCAGTCTCCTGTACATATGTCAATTTTAATAAATCGAGTACTTGCCTTGGAAGTTTTTGCTGTTTTTTTCTGTAACTTTCTCTTACTAGTTATCAGCGGATCAGAGCTTGATAACAAAAATTAAAAACATCGACATTTTTTCCTTAATTTTCTTGCATTATATTCTCTATATTTCTTAAAATCTTTATTGTGAGCTTCTTGTGCCTCTTTTCTGTTAATTGTCCTATCGTCCACAAAGCTGGAGATATAATTTCTAGTCTATGTATGAGATATTTGTGTACGGTAGGTGGCATATAATACCATGGATATTTTTCAATTAAGTATTTAGCCGTGTTAAGTGTAAATTCTCGAAACTTTGAAGTATGGATTTTATATCCAGAAGATACTGTCATCGCAATAGTGTAAAACTTTTTATTTAGGCCCACATCTACATTTGTAACTTTAGCAGAAACTTGTGCGTTTTGAATTAAGCGTCACGCAGTATTTCCATCATTGGTATTTCTGAATCCCGGCTTAGGACAATTAACAATTAAACCACATCGTTTTTTAAATTCTCTCTGAATTTGATATTTATATTGCGCAAAAATTACTTTGTACTTACCTTGAGCTTGCCATTTTCTAATGGGTAATTTATACCCTACATGTAAAAGACATTTAAACAAGCGAATCCATCCATGTAATATTGATAAACCAAATTGCAAATTCTCTGTATTTATTTTTCTTTTTATCACTTTGTCAATATTATTAAATTCTTTTGATGTTGCACCACAAATAAAGCATTTTTGCGTTGAAGTTGTTTCTGCAACAGCATTGCACACTTTGCCATTTACCATACAAAAAATTAGTTCGTGATTTACAACTATTTGTTTCTTTACATTTACAACACTGCTTGGTTTGAAATTTTTAGTTTCTTTATCTATTCTATTTTTCTCCTGAACGGATGCATCAGTAGACTGTTTCATAAATTCGATTTTTAATGGTGTATAATACCTTATGCATGATGGGCGCGTGGGTTCTGCTATACACTTCTTTTATTTGAGACTAGGCGTAATGGAACTAGACAAGTAAGAAATACTGATGAATCAGTGTCATTTGAATCACAAAATGCTTGTTTATAAGAACTATGATCTGAAGAACCATCAAAGTCCCATTTTGACAACAAACTGAGCTGATTTAGTTCTTCTTTTTTAAGAGATTAAATAATCGGTTCTATCGATAAAATTAAGCGTTCTACAGTGTGATCTAGTAACTCCTGTAATGGAACAGAACACCAAAAAATATACTGCACCCGGTCTTGACTCTATCTCAAATGTGATCCTTAAACGTCTCCCAATCAAATATAGAAATTTGCTGAGTTCCTTTCATCTTCTCTCACCATCATGACAAGAGAGTCGGTACCTTCTTCTTATTTATACCAGTCAATAACTGGAACATCTTACAAGAATCGACACTTAGTGATTTTCTATCACGAAGCAAAATCGAATCCAGGATAATGAGACAAATTATTCAGAACAATCCAATCAGTCATAGAAACAAAATAACATTACAGTAGTGGAACCTGATGCTTTTTCTGAAATAATTAAATATTAGTTTATTTAAATGTCGATTTACGTTCCTGTGATGTCATGGTAACGACGCTTGCTTAGACGAAAACGCGGCAAGGAAGCAGGTGTGGATTCGATCACTTTTGGATCGTACGTCGATATTGTGTTATCTTATTGTTAAAATTTTATTGTCGACTATATACAGTCGGGTCCCCATACTGTTACATTTTCAGAAATTTCACACTTCTCCAGACTCAGCTCTGTTATGTGCTCAAATTATGTTTACTGCGCACCTTTCAGGAACATAAATATATACACCTCAAGTTTGGCCTAGAAGTATATGCACCCTTTTCCTTTGTCTTAAGAATACGGCCCTGAAAATTAGTGACGTAACGTGACGTCACCTAACACTTCTGAATTTGGAGGTTATGCAAAATCATAACACTACTGAGGACATAACAGTTTGGAATCTAACAGTATGGGGACCCGACTGTACTTCATTTGTTAAGAATTGTTGTAATTAATGCTCGAATTAATGTAACAAGAATAGTGTGAGTGTGGAATTGGCCAATTCGTCAACTGAGAGACATCGAAATGTAAGTAGATAATCTGATAAAATATATCTTGATAATTATTTCACTGAGTTCACCCATTCTACCCCCGGGAGATTATTCTTATTTGGTTAAAGTAAATTTAATTCTATATTTTATTTACTGTCGACCTTCAGTCGACTGGCGTCCGCGGTTTTTTATATATTGATATTATATTTCTGAACCCACACTACAAATTTAATTTATTCTTTTAATATATAACTAAAACTCATATTTAAAAGAAACAACAAATTTAACATAAAAGGTTTCAACTGTATTAGTTGTAACCATAATAGCCCTTTTCTTCCCTTCTTTTCTTCCAAAGAGTCGTGTCTACATTAATGTGTATCTGCCTGAATGGCAGATATAATTTATATCACAATTCATTTGTGTTAATTTTTATTCTACGGTATATGCTTGTATAGGAAAATGAATTCTACTGAATGTTATAAGTATCCAAAGAGTTTAGAAATAGGTTTAATCTTTATATATATAGTTGATTTTTTATTCCGTTGTTGAATTTTGTTAAAATTCTTTTAATCGATTATCGGAAGAGTAATAAATGAAACACTAATTCATTAGTTGTGTAACGTTTCGGCGTCATGGTTTGACATTATCATCAGGTCACTTTATTAAACAATGTTAGTTTACAAGACATTCCAAGAAAAAACATACATATGCTGCCGCACAAAATAGAAAAGTCTATAACTGACATGCACTTCCGAAAGCAACATAGCTCCGATTTTGTTGAAACTTGGTATACTTACGTAATTTTGTGCCCTTATTACGAAAATCATAGTGAAAATTGTCGACTAGGTCATCTTCATGGTAAAAACCATAAAAAACACCATAAAATGTGGTTTTTGCGTTTAACTTGCAAAAAACGCAAAATTTCAAAAAATGTTTCATACAAAAGTTGTAGGTCCTAGAAAAACACATCTTTTCTCTCCTATACGTTTTTTTCCAATACTAAATACTTTTAAAAAAAATCGTAAAAAACCAAAAAATATCATAAATTTGTCTGAACCATAAAAAATATCATATGACTGATGCTTTATAATACATTTACCGACCCTGGCCGTCCCCCGGTTCAAAACAGGAAACCAGTTAAAGGCTCAGTCTGGCTTAAGCGTGCTTGATCAAGACCTGGTAGGGCCAAATTCAAATTTTGATCAAACTGAAACTTAGTGTTTGCTGATCCTCCGTCGACATAAAAATTAGAGTATATGTATATTTCAGATTTATTATTGATTACTCTTCTTACTTACCATAGTGGCATTTGCTGCTCCTCTGTTGATTTGAAATTTAGAGTACATGTTTATTTCAGTTTTTCATACTTACCATAGTGGCGATTGCTGCTCCTCCGTCGATCTGTAAATTAGAGTATATGTAAATTTCAGTTTCATAATTGATTACTCTTCATGTTTACCATAGTGGCTTTTGCTGCTCCTCTGTCGATCTGAAAATTAGAGTATATGTATATTTCAGTTACATAATTCATTACTGTTCATACTTACCTCAGTGGCGTTTGATGCTCCGTCGACCTGCATAGTAAAATTTATATTTCTTAAATTCTATAATTGATTATAGTGGCATTTGCTGATTCTCCTTCTATTTGAAAAGCAGAATGGATGAGAAGTATAATTTAGTGAAATTAGGTCGTATTCTGTTAAATCGGGAATCCAGTTTGGAATGGGTTCGTGCTGTTGGGTTAATACCTACAGAGAGATACTGCCCTAAGCATAAAAAACCATGACATTATACGAAAACAGATTAGTCTGTGGAGAATTTGTTTGTCGATCGAACAAAGGGACAAACGTTCATTCCAAAACTGTGGCAGAGAATACTTGGTTTAAGTATTCTCATATCCTTGTAGCCACTTGCATTTTCATTACATACTCTTTCTCTGTTGGCCTCAATTTTGAGCAAACTATTAGGGAAAGCAGTATCATCGAAGATCAATCTGTTTCCACAGAAACTATCGCCGACCGATTTTCATTATGTCGAGGAATCTGCATGATTTCCCTTGACAACGAATTTGAATTGGAAGGCAAAATTGGCGGACAAGGGAAAGTTGTGGAAATCGACGAATGTAAAATCGGTAGGCGAAAGTATCAACGTGGTAGAGTTGTCAAAGGATCCTGGATTCTAGGCTTCATAGAGCGAGGTAGTATTGAAAACTATCGGTTGGAGATCTGTCCTGAAAACAAAAGGGATAAAGGTACCTTATTAGAATTAATCAAGAAACATGTGTTAGTAGGGACAGAGATCCACACTGATTGTTAGAAGGGCTACTTCGATCTTGAAGCTCATGGGTATGTGCATTTAACAGTTAATCAGTCTTTTGAGTTTGTAAATAGTGAAACTGGTGCACATACCCAAAATATAGAATCCTCATGGCGGTCAATGCGACGTTTCTTATCTCGGGGTGGAATTCACAAAGACAAGCTGGATGAGCACTTGTGTGAATTCTTGTGGCGACGCCGAGTTAAGAAATTAGCTGGAGACCCATTTAATCAATTGATCCGGGACATAAGAACAGTTTATCCTGGCTATGTTCGTTAGATATCACGTTCGTTAGCCACTCGACATATTTATGTAGTCCATAGAATGGACGTTATATTATAAGTTACTTGTATATAGACCTTTAAAAACGTTAAATATAAAAAACAAAAAAAGTAAAAAAACAAAAAAAATACAAAAAAATTGCACTTCTAAATCCTCTTTCCGACCTCCTTGTGGTGAATTGCGTGAGTAGGTAGAATTTTACCGAAACCAATGGAAAGAGGCAACATCTCCAACGTTTCCCTTTAAAAAAGCCCTTTTTCCGGTGGGACGGAACACTACAAAGCCCGGCTTCGCTCCTGTCGTAGTCCTTTTTTACGTAGAAAGAGAGTCAAATTGACTTTCTTGTTGGTATTAGAAGGTACTCAACCCGGACCCAATGCCCTTTCAAAGTTTCCCTTTAAAAAAGCCCTTTTTAAAGTGCCTGGTGGGACGGAACATCTCGGAGCCAGGCGACGCCCGGCTTCGCACCTGTCCTCGTCCTTTTTTACGTAGAAAGAGAGTCAAATTAACTTTCTTGTTGATATTAGAAGGTACTCAACCCGGACCCAATGCCCTTCTAACGTTTCCTTTTAAAAAAGCCCTTTTTAAAGTGCCTGGTGGGACGGAACATCACGGAGCCAGGCAAACTAAGTTTCAGTTTGATCAAAATTTGAATTTGGCCCTACCAGGTCTTGATCAAGCACGCTTAAGCCAGACTGAGCCTTTAACTGGTTTCCTGTTTTGAACCGGGGGACGGCCAGGGTCGGTAAATGTATTATAAAGCATCAGTCATATGATATTTTTTATGGTTCAGACAAATTTATGATATTTTTTGGTTTTTTACGATTTTTTTTAAAAGTATTTAGTATTGGAAAAAAACGTATAGGAGAGAAAAGATGTGTTTTTCTAGGACCTACAACTTTTGTATGAAACATTTTTTGAAATTTTGCGTTTTTTGCGAGTTAAATGCAAAAAACCACATTTTATGGTGTTTTTTATGGTTTTTACCATGAAGATGACCTAGTCGACAATTTTCACTATGATTTTCGTAATCAGGGCACAAAATTACGTAAGTATACCAAGTTTCAACAAAATCGGAGCTATGTTGCTTTCGGAAGTATATCCATGGCAGTATACAAATATGTGAGATTTTATTTTCAACGCTTAATTATATTAAGCAATTTATAAAAATATTCGAATATCTTTGAAGAATTAGCTGTTACGATTTTCGTCAAAGCAACATTTTTATCAGAAAGCTTTGTAGAATAATAAAATCGTAACAAAAAGTTGCCACAATGAAAGTTGATAGTATACATCTTCCTCCACGGTGTGGTGAATTGCTCGAGACATCTTGCAGGTCAAGTTAAACTTATTCGACTTGCATATATAGTAGAAAAATATGGGATGAAACTATTCAATTGGTTAACTCTTTTTATTGTTCTGATTAATGTAGCAGAATAATGCCAAGAAAAGAGATTATGTAAATGTAAAAGAAGATGGTTTAAGAGTGCAACTACAAAAGAGGTTAATTTTAGGAAATTTAACTACAATATATGCTGTTTTTAAGGAACAACATTCGGATATTGAAATAGGTTTTAGCAAATTTGCTGAAAATCGCCAACAGCAATGTGTCTTAGTTGGTCCTAAGGGCACGCATGCAGTTTGTGTATGTCAAATACATCAAAATGTAAAATTGATGGTGTCTGGTGCAAAATTACAGCAATTGTCAGAACCTGGTGATAATTGTCATATGACATAATATGAAGAAATGTTAAAACAAATTATTTGCGCTGTGCCTAATGAAGATTAGCTACTTTTAAAAGTGTAAAAAATGTCTAGATTTTGAAAATCTGAAGAAAATTTTACAGATAGATTTTGAAAGAAATGGTGTTCAAGAAATTTCTTTTAATGAATGGAAAAGCAATGATTGTTGCCATGTAGAATCAGGAGTTTATTCAGTCGACAGATACATCGATACATCAGACGCACGCTTAAAATCTTTAAAAACGCACATTTTCATCGCAAAATCTAAGGCAAAGTTTTTAAAAAATTGCAAAAATAATCTAGAGAACAATGGTACTGAATTTGTTGTAATATTAAATTTTGCGGAAAATTACTCCACAGTAATTCAAAACGAAATCCAGGGTCATCACTGGAGTAAGACAGAAACAACGGTGCATCCATTCGTTGTTTATTGTAAAAAAATGCAGTTATCGAGCATGAGAGCTTTGTAATAATTTCAGATTTTTTAAATCATGAAGCAAGTACTGTATATTATTTTATAGCAGGACATAAATTATTAAAAATTATTTAAAATAATTTTAATTATTATTATTATTTATTTTAATTATTATTATTTATAATTATTATAATTATTATTAATTTTTAATTATTTAATTATTTAAAGAATAAATTTGGTCCTAAAATTTAAAAAATACAATATTTTTCTAATGGAGCTGCTTCCCAATATAAAAGTAAATCAAAGTTTATAAATTTAATTTATCGCAAGAGTGATTTTAACATCGATGCAGAATGGCATTTCTTCGTGATATCACATGGAAAAAGTCCATGTGATGGAGTAGAAGGAACATTGAATAGATTAGTAATTACAGCTAGTTTACAAAGACCTGAAAATAAGCAGATAATTACGCTAAAACACTTATGCGATTTGGGTGTAAATAGTAATTTGAAAATTACTTTTGAATTCTGCAGATCAGAAGATATTCAAAAAGGATTTAGTAGAAGATCGACCTTGCCTGGGACTGTGGTGGCTGAGGACTCTCGCAGTTCCTCCGGTGACAACCTTTCGGGCCCACCTCTCACCCAGGTGAACATGGCCACCCCATCTCAGGATAGTCATCCAGATAGTCAACAACCTGGTCAAACAATTCCATCAAACCCTGATATGAAAACACTATTTGGTTTTCTATCGGGTCAATTTTCATCTAATGGCCCAAAGTCGAATTCACAAACTACTACCGCTACACAAACGATAGATTCTGCTCGCAAAAAGAGAAATTTAAACACACCTCACTTGGAGAATTCAGCGGCCGAGCGTTTTTTTAATTTTGCTAATTTTAACTCACACAAAAAACCCTCTTTGGAAACAGGAAATCAATCTTCTCCTCTTAACGATTTTGAGAACACAATTCGCTCCGCTTCTAATTTCGATCCTAGGGGTTCTTCTCAAATTATCAATGACATCGCTGATTCAATTCCTTCGACTTCCAACTCTGTCCCCGAAGAAATCTCGCAGGAACCCCTGGACGTGATCTGGCAGCAAACCGATCTCGTGTGGCACAATAGTCAAATCAAAAATTCTAACACTTCCCCAGAACATATCTCTCCTCCATATAATCTTTTGATGGAAATCACCGTTCAAGGTAGAAACTTGGGTAGGCTTGATCCCATGAAAATAATTGATCTCCTTACTTCCTTTATTCACGGTGATAAAACTATTACTAGAAGCGGTAAGAATTAAATTAAGATACAATGTAGCGACTTAAACTCACCCAACTCCCTGATTACCTCTCGTGATCTAATTCAGGCCGGTTTCAAGGTATTTGTTCCTGATTCATTCCTTAGGAAAAAAGGCTTTACGACTTGGTTCCCCTCAACTCGATCTATTAAGGATATAGTGGGCGTTTGTTCGGCGAGCGATCTAGAGCACATTACGAGTATTAAAAGATTAGTGGATGATAATAATGTCATCTATGACAAAGTCGAGTTTACTTTTAACATTCCCACAGTCCCTCGTAATACTCGCCTATGTGACTTTATCATCGCCATCACACTTTCTATTCCACGTCCGCGCAGATGTTATCGCTGTCAGCGATTCTGCCTAACGCTGGACATCATCATCTATTTACCTAAATATGAACACAACCCTACTTGTAAAAATAGCAGGGAAGATCATTCTGCCTCGTCTTCCAATTGTTCAATTTTTAAACTGGAATTTGGCATCCTTCACCGTTTTACAACCGTTTTTACAATCGCGATAGAGAAGAGGCCAAGCTTCTCTTTTACGCAGAGAACTCAGATCTCTATAATACAGTGGAATCCAGACCGGATTCTTCTCTAGTAGAAAATTTTAGTAAGAGTTAAAATCTCAATCGTGATCCACCTGCTTCTAAAATAGGACCCCCCACTCCACGTGGGGTCCAATCGAAGCCATGGATGGGCACGATCCAATGAACCCAAATAATTCGGTCGACTTTATAATGAAATTAAACCAAAACAAAAGCTCTTTAATTACTTCCATGCATGATAAACTGACTGACCCATTTCTCAAAAATCCCTTGATTCTCAAAGTCCCTTGAGGATTGTACAGCCGGAATTAGCATATGTCCATCTCATTGATAGAATTAAAGCAGCTCTAGGATAATCTGGAGCCTACATCTCTTCAAATCTACCTGGAAATCGTAAATCGAACCCCTTATGGTGGGACATTGATTGTGATGAGGCTCTAGATAGGAGAAGAACATCTCGGAAAGAATCTCTAATTTCTCAAACTGATGAAAATCGAATCAAATTTAAAAAAGTAGATGAGGAAGTTAAACGCTTCCTTCGCAGAAAAAAGAAACTCTCCTTCACGGACTTTTATAATTCCTTATCCCCCTCCATGGGTTCAAAGGAAATTTGGGGCAAAGTAAAAGCTTTCGCCACTTCTACTCAACCTTTACGTACGGACATTAGCAACGATTCCAACTCTCAACAATTTAAACAACTTCAAGCTGAATTAACACAAGAACATATTAAACGCACTCATCTTCGGTTTGTCTCAGGTATAAATGAAGATAAACACCTCAATGAGCCTTTTTCAGACTTTGAATTCAACTTAGCTATGATTCACTCCAAAAAAGACACCACTCCTGGCTTAGATTCCATTTCAAATGCGATTCTTAACCATCTCCCTCCTAAAACAAGAAACTACCTTCTATTCCTATTCAATTGTTTCTTTTTAACATCAAGTTTTCCTCTCAGCTGGAGGGATACCAGAGTGCTTACAATTGATCTAAAAGACGCATTTAGCAATATACTTCCCTCTGCTATCCACAACCGTCTTATTAAGCTACATACTCCAGATAGGCTGATTAACTTCTTTTCATTCCTTACTGTTTCGACAAATCTATTCTTTTCATCAGATGACGACAATTTTAAGAGGGCCTGGCCTTTTACAGGGCCTGGGACTCTTCATCTCTCCTGGAAAATCTCAGTTATATTCTCTCGAAGTAGTGAAAGGTTTAAATACATCTTTATTTACTTGAATGGGTTTAGGATCGCAGTCCAGAATGATCACTTGTACCTTTGCATTTACTTAGACAGAAAATTAAATTGGTCCAAGCATATTATTGAAATTTCACGTAAGACTACTCAAGTAATAAATATATTGACTTCAATGTCAAGGGTCTCTTGGGGGGGGGCTAGTCCTGAATCTCTGCTGATGGTCTATAAGGGACTGGTGAGAGCGCATCTTGAATGGGGTTGCCAGCTTTTCTCTGCTGCAAGCAAGACCCATCTCAGGAAGCTCGATAGGGTCCAATATGCAGCCATCAGAGCTATCCTTTTCAGTATGCGATCCACACTAATCAGTATTCTGTTGTCCAAGGTGGACCAACTTGTCTCTCAGGAGACATGCATTTTGGACGCTTTTTTTGTTTAAACAATCATAACTTTTAATCCTTAAGTCAAAAGTTAAATTTTCTTTCAAATTCTGAAAGAGGACTAAAAAAGTACATAGGAAACACAATATGAAAAATTTTTCTAGCTCACCATCTTTGAAAATAACAAACACAAATGTAAAGGGAAAAAATAGTCTTCTCGGACGAATTGGGTTAAGAAGCCTACGTATTTAAAAAAATATCGTTGTAAAACTAATGATAAAATTAAATTTACCGTTAACGTATTGAATGATTTCCCTCGAAGAAATATTAACACCAGATTGTTTGACAACAAAAGCAAGGGGCAATTCTCCAGCGAGTTCATCAGGATATCCAACAACAGCAGCGTCTTTAATTGCTGGATGTGTCAATAAAATTGATTCCAGCTCTGCAGGAGGAACTTGAAATCCTTTATATTTAATCAGTTCTTTTACTCTGTCGACAATGTAAAAACAACCCTCCTCATCATAATATCCAACATCGCCAGTGTGAAGAAAGCCGTCTTCGTCGATTGCATTTCTTGTCGCTTCTTCATCGTTATAATATCCTTTCATAATAATTTCTCCTTTGAAGCACAATTCACCCTCTTTATTTGACCCTAAACCCTCATTCGAATTTCCCTCCAGTGAAATAACTTTGGCTAAAAAATTTATTAACAAATTTGCAATGTCAAGGTTTTTTCAATTATGTTTTAAATAGTATAAGTAAATCTAGGTTTATTGGTGTTGGTTATTATTGGTCTGTTGTCCCTTAGTGACTTTTTTTAATTAATTAATTAACTATATAATTAATCTCCGTATTCTTTAATTCATTCTATCTGCAGTTTGAAGTTAGTTTCTGTGCATGCTACCCATTTTGTTTGTTATATGCTTTTTTCTATAACAAATTTCGTTTGACTGATCTTAATTATTATGCAAATTATTCTCCTTTTTATTTATAAAAAATACTAGAAAATTGTTAATTGTTAAAAACTTTTGATTAAGAAGTAGGTAATATACCCATTTTATGCATAATTTTTATTACGCAATAACAATAGTCTTTACAAACTCATTTTTTTCTTTTGGGAAGAAAAACATTAGATATTTCCGTTTCTTAATATTTTTGTAGAAAATTCTCAATTTTCATAAGGAAATAATTTGCATCAATTCTATTTCTTAATTTCAATTTATTGTTTTAATAAAATTCAAAGTTTTTTAAAAATAAAGAAAAAAAAAGGTTTATAAATTATATTTGAGGCATTTCACGTCAGAAATATCACGATTTGCAAAGGGTATGCCGATTTTCGCAAAACTTTGTGGGATTATAGTTTTATATAAGAGACTTCTTTCCCCTAAATTTAAAAAAAAAATTCAAAATTGTTGAAGATACGCCATTTTGAATTTTAATATTAATTTTATAAAATTTGGAATATCTCGGAATATTGTTTATGGATTTTTATGAAATTTACACATTTTTCAGGTAAAAGTATGTACTTTAAAATGCAAATAAAGTTAATAAAAAAAAATTAATTTTTAAATAAAAAAATTTTTTTAAACAATTTTTTGTTTATTTACTTCTCTCTGAGAAAAATGTTATTAACATATTTGGATTCCTTGTGAATTCACCTTTAATTTCATAAAAAAATTGATGGTTCCGGAGATATTGAATTTTTTGTAAAAAAAAGCGTCGCCGCGCCATAGCACCATACTGCACAAGTCGCGTAGTACGTTACCGCAGTCGTGCATTGCTGCTGTAACTATGACTATTTTTTACAAAAAATTCAATATCTCCGGAACCAGTTGAGTCACCATCAATTTTTTTTATGAAATTAAAGGTGAATTCATAACTAATCCAAATATGTTAATAACATTTTTCTCAGAGAGGAGTAAATAAACAAAAAATTGTTTAAAAGAATTTTTAAAAATTTTTTTATTTAAAAATTAATTTTTTTTATTAACTTTATTTGCATTTTAAAGTACATACTTTTACCTGAAAAATGTGTAAATTTCATAAAAATCCATAAACAATATTCCGAGATATTCAAAATTTTATAAAATTAATATTAAAATTCAAAATGGCGTATTTTTAACAATTTTGAATTTTTTTTGAAAAAATTTGGGGGAAAGAAGTCTCTTATATAAAACTATAATCTCACCAAGTTTTGCGAAAATCGGCATACCCTTTGTAAATCGTGATATTTCTGACGTGAAATGCCTTATTTGTCAATTAGAAAATTTATATGAAAATGAAACTGAAAATTTTCGAATTTTTAGAAAATAAAGGAAAAAATTTTATTTGAAAAAATGTTTTGTTAAATTTATTTACGATTATCTTTAATTGTAAACTTATTCTAAAACAATAATTACTTTTTTAAATGTTTTAAATATTTAATTATTATTATTTTTTCGTAGGAATTAAAATTCTTCAAAAAATTAAAATTCAAACTTTTTTTAAATTAATCAATTTTAAAAATATTGTTATAAAACATAAAGATAACGATTACTCCGAGTGATCTATTTCTTTATGTTTTATAATAAATAATTAAATAGGATCAAGTTTTAAAATCATTATTTTATATTATAAGAAAATTGTTACTGTAACTTCTTAAAAATTATTTTCATATTGTATTATTATCTAAAATTTAAACTAAAATTCATTTTAAAATCAATTTTTATTAGAAAATTTTACGAGAATTCAATTATCTAAATACAAAAAAATGATTTATTGAAGAATTGAATGTATCTTAAAATTAAATTCACAAAAAGAATTTTATTAACAAATTTTTAAATAATTAAATTCTTTAGATGAATTTTAATAAACTTTTTTAGAATAGTTACATTTTTCAAGGAATTTTATTAAAATTGTATTAAAAATAATTGAAATTCTGCGATAATTGAATCATTGCGAAGAATTTTACTATTTATAAAAATAATTGAAATGTTTCGAAGAATTTATTAAAATTCTTTCGTGTAATTTTATTTAAATTTGATTAAAAATAATTTAATTCCTGCAAAGAATTTTAGTATTTATAAAAATGGTTGAATTGTTTCAAAGAATTTATTAAATTTTTAGAAAATAATTGAAATTTACGGAAATATGTATTTAAAAATATTTGAATTCATCCGAGAAATTTAATTAAAATTGTTTTGGAAATAATTAAATTCCTGCAAAGAATTTTACTATTTATAAAATTAATTGAATTCTTTCGAAGAATTTTACTATTTATAAAAATAATTTATTGTTTTCGAAATGTGTCAAAATTTTTAAAAAAATTAAATTCTTCTGAGGAATTTAATTAAAATGGTTTTGAAAATCATTGAATTTTTGTAAAGTTTTTTTTACTATTTAAAAAAATAATTGAAGTATTTAGAAGGATTTATTAAAATTTTAGAAAATAGTTGAATTCTTTCCTGAAATTTTATTTAGAGGTGTGCATTTAATCGAGTCGAATCGAAAATTATTCGACTCGACAACAGAAAATTCGAATCGAAAGAAAATTCGAATCGAAATACCAATTCGAAGTTTCGAATTTCGAATTTCGAATTAGCCAATTCGAATCGAAAGAAAATTCGAATCGAAATACCAATTCGAAATTCGAAGTTTCGAATTTCGAATTGGCCGATTCGAATCGAAAGTAAATTCGAATCGAACTACCAATTGGCCGATTCGAAAATCGGAGTTTCGAATTGTACAACTCAACTCGGTTATTTTATTCGCACAATTATTTTGACAGAAATCTCAAAGAATTCTTAAAGAATTTTAATTGAAAATTTTTGAAATTTTATTAAAATTGTATTAAAAATAATTGAATTTTTGCAAAGATTTTATAACGAAATGAGAAAAAAATTGAAATCATTCTTGAAATTTTTTTGAAAATAATTGAATTTTTGCAAACATTAAAATCTATTTCTATTTAAGAAAATAATTAAATTGTTTTGAAGTATTTATTAAAATTTTAGAAAATAATTGTATTTATTCGTAAAATTTTATTAAAATTTTGTTTAAAAATAATTTAATTTTTACGAAAATCGTTATTATTTATGAAAATAATTGAATTCTTGCAAAGAATTGAATTATTTTCAATATTTTCAATATTTCCGAAAATTCAAATATATACACAAACTAATTAAAAATTTTAAATTAAAACAATTAAAATTTTTAAGAATTATAATCATACCTATTTATAAATTAAAATTCCACAAAAAATAATTTTTTCAAATTATACAAAAATTCTTCAATTTTTCTTGAAACATTAAATTACAATTTTTATATAAAAAAATAATTCTTAGAATTGGAAATTGTATTTATTAACAGTAACTATTTGTTACTAAATGAAATTAAATGAAATTAAATTTTGAGTGGTCTCAGAACTTTTTTGGTTAAAAATTCGCTGAGTTACGGAATTTTAAAGTTTAGAACGCCAAATAAACCTCATTTCGAGAAAAACGAAATTAAAGATTGCGATACCAACCAATTGTTTTATCTCTGGTTCTTCTTGGAAGTTATTCAGATAAGCATTGTTTCCAGTTCAGGGCACCTTGAAGATAGAAAACCAACAGGTTTTAAATTTTTAGAACCACCCCCCCCCTTAATTAACTAATTAATTTAAAAACCGACAATATGGGCCCTTTTTTAAAAAGGACAGTTTTTCTATTAAAAAACCATTTTTTTACAAGATTAATGATTAGGTACAATTTTATTGTGTCATTTAAAGAAAAAAAATATATATTAAACTTATTAAAAAATTTTTTACAGTCTCTATTATGAAAAAATTGACGCAATATCCAAATTTTCATTTCGACAATTACGAGAAAAAAGACTCTAACATCAATATCTCTGGTTCTTTTGGGAAGTTATTCAGATAAGAATTGTTTTCAGTTCAGGACACCTTAGAGATGAAAAATCAAGAGGTTTTAAATTTTTCCGCACCTCCATTTTTAAAATACGGATTACCTTTGCAAATGACTGACAAAATGGGCCCTTTTCATTTTTCTAAAGAACCAATGAAATCAAACAGTTAAATTATCGATAAATTAATGAAAACCGCTTGATTCGACTTGCCAAAGCATGTAGATAGATAATAAAAAATAAAAAAAAATTAAGATTTTGCTCCAAAATTACTAAATTGCGATTATCTCGAAAACTAGAACCGACAATATGGGCTCTTTTCATGTGGACGTCCACATATGAAAGTACTTTATGATAGATTAATAAAGTTTAACTAATTTTTTTTTTGAATTTTTAATTTTGCAAAAAAACGTTTTTTGCCCATAACTTTAAAAAAATGTTAGGACACCTATAAATGTTTTTCTTTAGTTTTGTAGAGTTTTTTTAGATGCATCTTTTGGTCCCTAATTGAACATTTTTCAGGAGGTTAAAGTTTTGAACGTTCAAATGAACGAAATTTATTTATTTCTTCTTCAAATCAAATTTTTATTACTATAATTTTGCGTCACTATTAAGCAAATTAATTATAATGTTTCTAAATGTAAAATTTGAGTTTTTAATTTGAATTGTAATCAATAATCTATTAAAATATTTTTAACAAAAAATATTTCGTTCATTTGAACGTTCAAAACTTTTTGTTCATCATTTTTCGTCCATATTAACCGGAGACTTTTTGAAAATTTTGTTGAAAAACGTAGAAGTAACTTTAAAATTATCGTTACCAAATTGTAGAGCATTAAGAATCGATTCGATTGACCTAACCTATTTTTAAACCTAATTCGATAATAAATTTCGAAATCATTGGTATTTTAAAAACCAAAAATTTTGGAAAATGACATTTTCTCAACTTTTGTGTTTAAAAATTTTTGTTTAACTATTAAATTATTGTAAATATCTTGTAGGGTATTTAAAAATACATTGATTGATCCAAAATCCAATCACTTTTACCATATTTATAAAAAGTAATTAATATATTTCTATTATTTTTATCTCTATGAGGAAATGCAGTGTTCATGAAATGAGTACCAAAATTATAAAAAATATACAACTTAGCAGCGGTTTTTAATTATATATTAGCTATTAAATTGTTAAAATAAATGAAAATTTATTTTAAAAATTGAGCAAAAAATTTGCAAAATAATTTTTTTTCCTTATGTACTACAAACAATAAGCGAAATATTTTCTTCACTTTCAACACGTTATTGGTATTTGTATGTTATTTATATATTAAAATTATAGAATAATTAATTGTGCGAATAAAGTAACCGAGTTGAGTTGTACAATTCGAAACTCCAATTTTCGAATTGGCTAGTTCGATTCGAATTTACTTTCGATTCGAATCGGCCAATTCGAAATTCGAAACTTCGAATTTCGAATTGGTAGTTCGATTCGAATTTTCTTTCGATTCGAATCGGCCAATTCGAAATTCGAAACTTCGAATTTCGAATTGGTAGTTCGATTCGAATTTTCTTTCGATTCGAATCGGCCAATTCGAAATTCGAAACTCGAAACTTCGAATTGGTATTTCGATTCGAATTTTCTTTCGATTCGAATTTTGCACACCTCTAATTTTATTACAATTTTTTAAATTTTACAATTCTATTGTTTCAAGATAATTGAATTTCTATAAACAAATAATTGAATTCTTTTAGGAAATTTTATTAAAATAATAGATATACAACTTATTGAATTAAGAAAAATTTTTGAAAAATTTTTTAGTATATGAAAAATACAAATTTTCAAATTTTTTATTTTGAAACCTGTTCAAAATTAAATTATTTGTGAAAATCCATTCTATAATGCTTTTATTTATTTATTCAAAAATAAGCTTTTAATATTCAATTATTTTTTAAAATTTTAATTGAAATCATTGAAATGAGGAAAGTTTTTGAAAATAATTAAATGTTTGTGTACAGTTTTAATAATATTGTTTTTAAATAATTGAATTCTTTTGGGTAATGTTATTAAAATAGTAGAAATTAAAAATCATTGAAATGAGGAAAATTTTTGAAAATAATTGAAATTTTGACAATAATGTTATTAAAATTTTTGAAAATAATCGAATTTCTGCAATAATTTATAACTTCTTCAAAATTCACTTTTTGTCAGCATTTTTAACTAAAATTCTTCTCTAAATCCTTTATTTTTAAAAATTAATTAATTATATATATTGACAAATTTAACTAATTTTAGAATATTTTAAATTATTTATTTTTCAAAAATTTAAGTTCATTAAAATTTCTAATTAAATTCATTCAACATTGAAATTTTCGAAAATTGCAAATTGAAACCGTTTGAAGTTCATTTATTTATGAAAATTGTAAACGCAACTCTTTTAAAATTGAATTAACTTTGAAATATTTAAGAAAAATTATTCATTAAATAATTTATTCAGGGTGTCTACAACTAATCTGAAAAAAATTTCCCTGACATTTCCAGGTTTTCCAGGCCTTCTAAAATTTTTTTCCAGGTTTTAAGAATCGACATAATAAAAAATACATTGCTTAAATTTTATTTGATAATACTTATAAATGACGGGGGAGAAGTATTCACAACGTTTGTCATCAACTTTTTTTAAAGAAAAAAACTGTTTTTCACTCAGAAAACAATATTTTAAGTTTACAAAATTATCCTTTTTTAACTTTTTGTTCAAGAAACATTGTAAAAGTTTTATTAAGACAAAAGTTTGAATAGAAAATTATTTTTTCTTCTAAATTATTGGAAACGTCACCAACGTTATAAATTATGAATATAAAATGAACATTTTTAAAAAAATTATCAGGGCTCGAACCAGTGACACAGTATTTAAAAATATGTACTTTACGGGACAAAAATGAAAACGAACCATTTACGAACAAAAATATCAGCAGTCTGAGTCAAATAAGAGAACATTTTACTTAAAATTATTAAATTAAATTTTTCACAACTATAAAACATGAAGATATCAATAACTCCAAGTCTTCGACTCGGAGTGATAGATTTCTTCATGTTTCCTAATAATTAAAGATGATCGAGTGATAAAATCATTATCAATTCAATTATTATTTTCAACAATTTTTAACTAAAATTCATCTTTAAATCACTTTTACGAAATCTCAATTTTTCGTAAATTCTTCAATTAAATATATATTCGAAAATAAAAACTTCAATTAAAAAAAATTCAATTAATTATAAAAATACACGCTATACGGCTTTTAATATTCAATTATTATCTAAAATTTTAACTGAAATTCATTTTTATTAGAATTCAATTATTTGAAAACAAAAATAAATAATTTATTGAATTATTGAATGTTTCTTAAAATTTAATTCTCATAAAGAATTTTACCAACAAATTTTTAAATTGATGACGAATTTTAATAAAATTTTAAAGAATAATTACATTTTTCGAAGAATTCGATTAAAATTGTATTAAAAATAATTGAAATTCTTTGATGATTTTTATTATTTATGAAAATAATCCTAGTTGTTAACAATTTTGCAAAAAAATTTCAAAAATAATTGAATTCCTGAGAAATTTTTATTATTCTCAAAAAAATGGAACTGTTACGAAGATTTTTACATAAAATTTTTAAATAATTGAATTTTGTTTGGAAATTTTATAAAAATAGTAGATATTGAAAATCATTGAATAGTGAAAAGTTTTTAAAAATAATTGAATTCTTGTAATGAATATTGTTATTTACGAAAATAATTGAATTCTTCCAAAGAATTTAAAAAAACATTTTTTTAAGTAATTGATTTTCTCGAGGAATTGAAATTAAATTTTTGACAATAATTACATTTTTTTAAGCAATTTCTATAAAATTTTATTAAAAATAATTGAAATCCGTTAATGGATTTTGTTATTTATGTAAATAATTGAATAGTTGCAAAGAATTTTATTAAAATTTTCAAAAATATTTGAATTCCTGAAAAATTTATATTATTTATTTAAAATAATTGAATTATTGCAAAAATTTTTATTAAAATGTTTGAAAAGAATTAAATTTTTGTGAAAAATTTTATTATTTTTGAAAATAATGGAATTCTTCATAAGAATTTTATAAAAATTGCTTTAAATAATTAATTTTTTCGAAATGTAAGAAATATTATGAAAATTTTATTTTAAATAATTGGATTCTTCTGGAATACTTTATTTTTGAAAATAATTGAATTTTTCGATTAATTGATTTAAAATAGTATTGAATTTGTAAATAATTGCATTTCTGTTAAATGTTTATTATTTTATGAAAATAATTAAAATTTTTTTAAATAAATAGATTGTTTTGGAAAAATTTTATTAAAATAGTAGACATTGAAAAACATTGAAATGAGGAACATTTTTGAAAATAATTGAAATTTTGCCAAGAATTTTATTAAAATTTTTGAAAATAATAGAATTTCGGAGAAGAATTTTATTATTTATAAAGATAATAGAAATTTTTACCAGAATTTAAAAAAATTTTTGAATGTTTTTTACTAAAAATTTGTAAAACTAATTGTGGGCTTTAAAAATATTGTTCAAGAGTATTTCAAGTCTTGATGAAAAAAATTCCCTGACTTTCGAAAAAATTCCCTGACATTTCCAGGTTTTCCAGGACATTTTTAATTTCCCTGACATTTCCCGGTTTTCCAGGTGTTGTAGACACCCTGATTATTTATTTTATGATAGGTAGTTGTTCAAGATTTAAGTTATTTAAAAAGAAATTTTTGACAGAAATTGAAAAAATCGAAAGTTTTGTTTTAGAATTCGTGGTAATTTTATAGTTTATGAGTCAATCAAAAAAGACCCAAAAATTCAGAATTTTCTTATGAATTCTAAAAATTCAATTTTTTCCAGTACTTTTAATAAAAATTCCTGCCTTTTTTCCTGAATTCCCTATATGTCAGAATATATGATTATTATAATTACCTTTTAAACCAGGTCGTAAAATTCCGATACTTTCGGGTTTCAATTCATTTATTGAATTCATTAATGAAACTGTAGTTTCCGTTAATCCGTATCCATTTCTAATAAAGGGAAGTTTAAACTTCTTTTGTACTGCTTCTTTAATATTTTCAGATACTGGAGCCGCTCCACATCTACACAAAAATTTTTAACAATTACAATTTTATTTTTTCAATAAAATTCTCTCGATATAATTTTAAACTACATCAAAATAAGAAAAGTTCTACTAACGATATTTGTTTGACGCAGGACAAATCATACTCATCGACAATTGGATTTTTCGCCAAAAACACCAACAGCGGCGGGACTAGTGGCAAAGTTTTTATCTGATAATCCTGTATGGCTTGAAGAAATAGTCGTTCGTCGAATCGCGACATGACAATCATTTTATTACCAAAAGTGAGACTCACGAGAAAAATAAAAAATCCATAACCATGAAACATTGGCAAAAGACCCAAGAAACTGTCGGCATTTTGGAAGAATGGAAATTTCTCCTCTGAATAATATTGTACTTGAATTAAAAAATTATTATCAGTCAACATAACACCTTTCGGAAGACCCGTCGTGCCACTTGAACACGCAATCAACAAAATATGTTCATTTTTATCAATTGTCGAAAAACGAAAATTTTTCACATCAACGTCTTTAATGCGAGATATTAAATTCGACATGCGTGGAATTTCCCGATGAGTCTCACTTTCATTGATTAAAATTAATTTTGGCGACCATGGTAAATTTTTCACTGCTCTCATCATTTTCTCCACAACCAATGCCGAGACAAAAATGTATTTTGGCTGTGAAATTTTTAGTACATGAATAAATTCCGTCTCAGTGTACGATGGATTTAGTGGGCAAATAGTTGCGCCTAGAAATATAGTTGAGACAATTCCAATGCAAAAATTTAAATTATTCTCACTGCAAAGTCCAATTTTATCGTTCAATTTCAATCCCATTTTTCCAAGAGCTATTGATAATTTCAAACATTTTTCGAGAAGTTGCTTGTACGATAATTCATCTTTGCTTTCCATACTTATCTAAAAGTAGAAGACAAACAAAATAAAATGAATGAAATTTTTTATTTGAATCATCAAAATTATTGTTTTATCGTAACAAATAAAATAGGTTAATTAAACAGTTTCGTTCAGAGAAATAAACTTTTTCTCTTAGTGTTTACCGGCGGTTGATAAAGTTTCACGAATCTGATTTTAAAAATTCAAAATGGCGGATCTAACATGGCCGACTATTTTTGAAAAATCAATCAAAATTGCTTAAAATTGGTTCCTCGGGGTGTTTCGGGGTCGCTGATTACAAAAATAGCATCAGATTTACAAAATTAAAAATGTAACAAATTTTTTTTTCAATATCTTAACTAAAGCAGGCTTCGAAGTGACACACTTTTCCACTTTTTTGACACTTTTTTTGGTCAAGCCTACTTTTTGCTACTTATTTTGTCAAAAAGCTACTAAATGCTACTTTTTTCCAAAAAAAGTAAAAAAAATTTACAGAATTCAAGAATTTTAGTTTTTTTGGTGAATTTCGTAGATTTCAAAAAACCCGCCAAGTGAATTAAATTTATTATTGGACGCGTGATTATAATATATTATAATAATTACTAATGGATGTTTATTAAATTACAACTTTTTAACGTTTCGAATTCTTCGTATCTAATTTTATTATTCTTTAAGCTTCTTAAAAAAATTAAAAACTAAATTTTTCATTTTTCACTATATAATTTAATAGTAATACCTTTTTTGACTTTATAAAAGTTTCATCAAGTATAGAAAAAATCAATTAAGAACGAAAACTTAATTCTTTTGGTTATATATGTAAATTGTTTGATTAAAAATCCAAAATAATATTTATATAACGTGATTATTTATTATATTATGTTTACAAACTTTATGTCAAATTTAAAAATATTAATTGTATTTTCAATAATACAGTGTTTTAAGTCGGTTGTTCAATGATAAAAAAATCATTTATAAAAATTTAAGATCTATGTAGAAAAAAATTATAATTTTTTTTATTGGAATTAAATTGCTCATAATTTATTATTGTACAAAATTATGGCTATGTGGATTCTAAAATTTAAAAAATTTATGTGACTAAAAACAATCCATTTTTTCCATTTTGATAGTTGTTATTAGTAAATTACTAAAAAATGTTTACGTTTGATTTTTAAAAATTAGACGGCTGATAAAAAGTTATTGATAGTTTTTTAAAAAATAATAAGGAGAAAGAAGGTGTCAATTTAACTTCTCAAAATTATGAGCCTGTTATTAAAAAACAAATTCTTATGAAAGATCTCATTTAAGTATTATTAACAATAATTACATTTCATTATGTAAATAAAACTTTCTACTGTAAAATATCGACAAAAAAGCTATTATATTTTCATGTTTTATGTTTATAAATCAAAATTTAAAAAAAAATTTGTAAATTCCTATTTTTAGTATTTTTTTCTTTCAATTTTTTGGACAACAACATACACTACCGTCCGTGAGTATCAGGGACGCCCCTTTTTTCATGAGTGGAAAAATGCTTAAAACGTAGAAAATAAGAATGACAAAAATTTTTCGTATTTTTTTCCTGAAAGCTAATGAAATTATAAAAAGACTGACACCTGATCGAAGAATTTTCGTTGACTATTCTGTCAGATACAGAAAAAATACTGAATTTTGCATGCTTTTCGTAATTTTTTAATTTTTCGAAAACTAATTAACTTTTTTTAGCGATCTTGGTCTTGTTTCAATCTCTATTCAATGTAGAATCTAAATTAATTAATGGTTAACTTACTAACTAACTAACTAACTTTAGAAAATAATTTAATTCTATTGAAATTTTTTTATAACGAATTGAGAAAAAAATTGAGTTCTTTCGTGAAATTTTTTTTAAAAATAATTGAATTTGTGCAAAGAATTTTACTATATTTATAAAAATATAGTTGAATTGTTTCGAAGGATTTATTAAAATTTTTTAAAATAATTGAATTTTTTCGAAAAATATTATTAAAATTAAAAAAAATTGAATTCTTTCAAGACATGTTATTAAAATTGTATTAAAAAGAACTGAATTTCTGTAAAAAAAATTTAAATTTAGAAAAATAATTGAATTGGTTTGAAGAATTCATTAAAATTCTAGAAAATAATTAAATTAAATTGCAATTTTCTATAATGGATTAAGAAAAAAATTGAATTATTTTTTTTGAAAATAATTTTACTATTTATGAATAGAATTGATTTGTTTCGAAGGATTTATTAAAAATTTTTTGAAAATAATTGAATTTTTTTGAAAAATATTATTAAAATTAAAAAAATTGAATTCTTTCATATGAAATGATATTAAAATTGTATTCAAAAGAACTGAATTCCTGAAAAAAATTTTACATTTAGAAAAATAATTGAATTGGTTTGAAGAATTATTTAATTTTCAGAAAACAATTGAATCCTATTAAAATTTTTTATAACGAATTAAGAAAAAAATTGAATACTTTCGTAAAATTGTTTTGAATATAATAATGAATTTTTGCAAAGAATTTTACTATATTTATAAATAAAATTGAATTGTTTCGAAGGATTTATTAAAATTGTATTAAAAATAATTGAATTTTTGCAAAGAATGTTATTATTTCTAAATAAAATTGAATATTGTTTTGAAAGATTTATTAAAATTTTAGAAAATAATTGAATTCCAGTAAAATAATGAATAACGAGAATTAAGAAAGGAATTGAATTTTTACAAAGAATTTTATTATTTAAAAAAATAATTGAATTATTTCTAATGATTTATTAAAATTTTAGAAAATAATTGTATTTGTTCGTGAAATATTAAATTTTTTTAAATTAATAAACAAGACTAATTAATTAGTAAATTAGTTAATAATTGAATTTTTTTATGCTTGAATCTGAAATTATTCAAAAATTCATATTTTGAAAATAAAAAATTGTGTAATTTGCATAATAATAATAAGAAATTAAACATTTGTAACATTCACTAGTAATATTATAAAGGAGTACTTTTTTTTATAAAAAACTGCTTTTTTCAATTTTTATAAATAAATAAAAAAAATTAAAGCTTTTTTAAAAAAATCGGCCTCCGTTTTTCAATTTTAAATCACTGGGAAGGCGCGCGAAATTCGCAGTAGTATAAATAAAAATTATAAAAGAAAATTTATAAATTTAGTTTTAAAAAAATTTTTTAAATTGAAAAAATTTATTAAACTTATAAACATTACCAAAGCTGTTGATGATGCATGTAGTGTCATTTTTTCATAAAGAAATTCCGCAATAGAATTGTATTTCCATTTGTTAAAAAGAGGCGGTCCACTTAAAATATTTGCCATTTTTAATTTTTTTATCTTCTGTAAAAAAAAGTTTATATTTTGAATATTAGTAGTTTACAAGTCATAATTTTATTGCAATTAACGAAAACGTACCTATTTTTAATAAATTTTTAATGTTTACATTTTTTTATGGAATTGTGTCACAATATAGAAAAAAAAATTTATAAATATTTCTAAAGAAAAGCAGTTTGGTAAAAATATCAACTTCTTGAAAATTTTATAATAAATCTACAAAAAATTATACAATTAAAAAATTAAATAGAGAAGATTTTAACGATTTTCCTTCCAATTTACATTTTATTCATTAAATTTATTATTTAAACAAAAATAAAAAATATTTATTAATTTTACGAAAAATTAATAAATTAAAAAAAATCAACCGGTTTATTTAATGAATAATTTAATAATATTTTTAATAAGAAAACATTACCAGATATTATTTAATTTCCACAACTTGATAACACTATATAAATTGTAAGTTCAATAAAGTTTATTGGTTCTTGCTTCCCATTCTAAACTGATTGATAAAATAACATCAAGTCACTGACGTTAAATTTAGATTCCTTATCAAACGTGAGCTTTGTATTATATTTTATTATTCAATGACTTAATATTGCTTCGAAATTTCTGATTTGCCTCCATTTTATACCTATTTTTAAACAAATTTCTTATTGTTTTTAATGCAAAACAGAAATATTTCACTGTATTATCAAAAATGTTAATTTACATGTTTAAAATTAAAACATAAAAAAATAACCGGCAAGTCTTTTAATAAAGTGAAAGTCATACCAAGTAGAATGCAGGATCGTATCAAAAATAGAGCCTTAAATAATTTTTTACAAAAACATTCAAACAAAATAAACGAAATGAAAAAAAATTTTTAAAAATTAAATTTAAAAATAAAAAATATAGAAATTAACCGTTATAATTCTTTAAAACTTTTTTCAAAAAAATTGTTCTCTATAACTAATTAAAAAGTAAAAATAAATACACCTCACGAAATAAAAAAAAAATAATCGAAAAAGTATTTAAAAAATGTTCTTTAATTGTCTTCTAATTATAACATATAATTACAGAAAAAAGCAATTAAACATAATTTTTATTAGAAAATAAGGAAAACATTTAAAACAAAATTTTTCGTTTACTTAAAAAGTAATTTTTTTAGAATTCATACTTTTAAAATAGAATGCGAAAAAAATGCCATCTTAAATTAACAAAACTTAAGAAAATCAACAAAATTGACTTGAACTTATTTAAATACTTTTGTCACTCGTTGTTTTAAACATAAAAGTTTTTTTTCAAACAATTTTGAAATTATTTCATTTGAAACTAAGAACAAACGAAAATTTAACGTAAACAATTACACGTACGATTATAATAACTTAATGCTTATAACAGCTAAGAAAATCTTTTTCAATTAACATTGAAATTGTATATCAGTCTTGATTTAACGAGCAAAACTTTTTTTTTTCCTTTTCTTAAGAAAAAATAAACTTTTAAACAAATTTTAATTATAAAAGTTATAAAATAGTAAATTTTAAATGCAAAAATTTCTTGATTTCTTTAATGTCGATCCTGATATTGTTAAAATATATATCCAGAATGTAAAAATTTTCATTCTTCCATCTTTGTAAACTTTTGACTCAGCTTTAGCCTCAGTATTTTACTTTGCTTTTAAATTTTCCAGAAAATCCTGAAAAGAAAATAAAAATATTAAATTTTTCTTGATTATACTAAAAATATATTTAATATAATAAAATTTTTATTAAAATATTTAAATCGTGAATTTCTGAAAAGGCTCAACTCTAAAAACCATAAGTTTCATTTTTTATAAATATAAATAAATAAATAAAATATTTATTAATTCAAAAATTTTTAATTCAAAGTTCACGAAACTAAATTTTAAAGTCGTTAAATTATATTTTTGAAGTTCAATAAAATAAAACTATCTTCGGAATTTATAAGTAAAATTATTAAAATTCTTACATTCGAATTTAAATTTTCTAAAACTTTCTAAAACCTTTTAAAATACGATTAAATATAAAAATTCTGAACAAAAATCTACTAAAAGTGAATTATTTTCGGAATTTTTAAGTGTGTAGTAATTTTATGATTGTTCTTCAAGAAATAAATTATTTTAAATAAATTCAATTTCATCAGGGTTGACATAAAAATTAAATTTTTTTTCCTGACTTTTCCATGATTTCCAAAGAAAATTTTGACCCTTTCCCCGACCCTAAAAAATATTATTTACTCTACAAATGATTATTAGATATTCAAAGAAATTTTACGAAAATTCGGAAATCCTTCAATTTCTAAAAATTTGTGTTTTTAATATTCAATTATTATCTGAAATTTTAACTAAAATCCATTTCTAAATCAATTTTTTATTTATGAAAAAAAAATTAAATTTTTGCGTAGAATTTAATTAAATTTTTTTTAAATAATTAAATTCTTTTGGAAAATTTTATTTAAATAGTAAATATTGAAAATCATTGAATTGAGAAAAATTTTTGAAAATAATTGAATTTCGGGGAAGTATTTTATTATTTTTAAAGACGATTGAAATTTTGACGAGAATTTTCTACAATCGTTTGTAATTTAACCAATATTTCAATAATTTTATGATAGTTCTTGAATAATTAAGTTATTTAAAGAGAAATTATTGTCCGAAATAGAAAATAATAATTTAAATTCTTCTGAAATGATTTTCAATACCTACCTATTTTAATAAAATTTTACAAAAGAATTCAATTATTTAAAAACAATTTTAATAAAATTTTACAATTTTAAGCGAATTCTTCGAAAAATGTAATTTTACTCGTAAAAACTTAATTAAAATTCGTCGAAAGAATTAAATATTATTTAAAAAATTATTGATAAAATTCTTTATACGAATTCAATTTTGAGAAACATTCAATTATTTAATAAATTATTAATTTTTGTATTTAATTGCGATTGTAAAATAAAGAAATATATAAATAATTGAATTCTCGTAGAATTTTCTCATAAACATTGATTTAAAAATAGATTTCAGTTAAAATATTAGATTATAATAATTAAATTCTTTCGAAAGAATTTCATTAAAATTTTAAAAATAATTGAATTTTATTGAAACATTTTTTTAAAATTGTCTTAAAACTAATTGTATGTATTTCTACCAAAAAAAAGTTTTATCAAAACTTTTTAAAATGTTTGAATTTCTGCTAAAATTCTGATATTTTTGAAAATAATTGAATTCTTGCGAAGAATTTTAATTAAGACTTGAAAATAATTGAATCTCTGCAGAGATTTTTTTATTATTTTACGAAAATATTTTAATTCTTGCGAAAAATTTTATTAAAATTTCTGAAAGTAATTGAAGATCTGCTAAGAATTTTGTTATTTTTAATTTATGCCAAGAATTTTATTAAAATTTTTAAAAATAATTGAATTCCTGTTAATTTTTTTACAAGAATTTAATTATTTTTGAAAATTTTAATAAAAATTCTTTGCAAGAATTCAATTATTTTCATAAATAATAAAATTCAATGCAGAATTTCAATTATTTTATTTATTTTTAATACAATTTTAATCAAATTTCTCGAAAAATGTTATTATTCTTAAAAAATTTATTAAAATTCGTTGATAGAATTCAATTATTTGAAAATTTGCTAATAACGATTTTTTATGGGAATTTAAAGAAACTTTCAATTATTCAATAAATTATTTATTTGTATTTTATTTATATTTAAATAATTAAATTCTAGTAGAATTTTCTAATAAAAATTGATTTTCATTTCATAAAAATGAATTTCAGTTAAAATTTTAGATAATAATTGAATATTTAAAGCAAATATAGCGTGAATTTTGTAAAATAATTGAATTTTGTAATTAATTTTTTTGAAAAAGTTTAATTGAGTTTTTTTAATATTATTCTTTAGTTTCTATTTTCTAATATTTATTTAATTAAAGAATTTACGAATAACTGAAATTTCGTAAAATTGAATATTGTAAAGAAATGAATTTGAAAATTGTCAAAGAACTTTTTCGAAAATTATTAAAAATAATCGATATAAAGAAGAATAGGGTCAGTGAAAAAAAACAAAATTTTGTCTGGAAATTAGGGAAAAGGGAAAAACAAAATTTAATTTTTGTGGTAACCCTGTAAATGAAAATTTCAGTTTGATTTCTAAAAATTAAAAAACAGAAATTTTTTTCAATTCAATTTTAAAAAAATAGAAAAAAGAAAAAGAAACAGAAAATAAAAATTAACAAACCAAAAACAAATCTATTTTTTGATTCCATTCATTTTCCTCTTTACTTCGCTCTCATTGAATCCCTTATAAATCGTCAAAAACTGATTCTCAAAATAAAATCCATCAGTTTTAAAATCCAAAATTGGTTTCAAGCCACAAAATAAATTCTCCTCATAAAAATGATGATTCGCCGATTTTCCAAACAATTTCTCAACAAATTTATTATTATCTCTCGCCAATTTTTCACAATTACTCGTCAATGCCAATGGAACAGTTTTCAAATTCGCAATTGCTTTCAGTGCATTTGTTTTCAATTTCAATAATGTCAAAAATCCAATCACTAAATTAGGCATTAAAAATGTTTTATCATTACAATAATCAACGTAACTGAATGCTTTTAATTCAAACAATAATGTTTTCTCCGTCTCTGTGCATTTTTCACATAATTTTGGACTTAGACGTTGTTTCGAAAATTCCTCATGAAAAATGATAATTTTCAATGATTTTAAATTCGGCATCAAGTGAAATAGTGCTTCCCAAAAATCACACGTTTCCAGATCATTTATTTCCTCGTCAATTAAATGAATCGTTAATTCTTGATTGTTCAATTGTTCCAAAATTTGCAACGAACGAAATACACTCAATGGCTTTAGAAATAAATCCGGAATTTCAAAATCGTTTCCTCTCATGTTATTTAAGAGCGGAAATGAAAGAAATTCAAGAAAGTTTTTCGTGGATTTGGGCAAATTCTCGAAATACGGGACTAAATTCATAGGCGGGGTTTTTAATTCCGTTATTTTTATGTTTGATTTTTCGGAATTGTCATCGGAATCACTGGTTGTGTCGGAATCGGTATCGGTATCGTCATCGGAATCCTCATCGTCATCATCGTCACTGGAATATTCGGAATCACTTTCGTATTTGTCATTTTTCTTTTTTTTATCAACCTTTGGATTTTTTTTCATTTCCGCCTTTTCATTGGCCAATTGAAGTTTCTCGCGATCCAATTGATAGCAAAGTTGGAAATTTGCGCATTTCTCTGCGGAATGAATTTCATGAAAACGACTTTTGTGCGAATGACAAATACTAACACTCGCGCAATTCGGACAATTTATCAGATTACGTTGATCGATATCGTGACAAATGCAACAGGAGCGCGTGAATTTTATCACTTTTTCCTCGTACGACGTGAGTGTGCGTCCGAGTTTTTTTGAAACACTATTTATCGAGGCGATTTTTGCATTTGTCCACGTCTCTAATTTACGATCCTTGGCATTGCGGAGGAAACTGTTTTTCCTACGTAAATCGGCGATTAGGGTGCAAAAATATTTATGCAAATGCCAATGTTCAGTTTGATGTTGTTTACCGCAATAGTTGATCATTTGACATTTCGCGCAACGAATTAAATTTCCCAGACGTCCACACACTTGACATGCGTTTGGATAGAAAAAGTCTATTTGCTCCTCGGATGGATGTTTCTTGAAAACAGTTTTTCGATATTGAGAAAAACGACAGCAATCGTCGCATTCTCTGCCAAAGAAAAAATGTAAGAAGTCCATGTTTTTTTTTAGGTTAGACACTCAAACACTGCGAAACGCCGCACTTTTTTCTTCTCGAATTTAAGCACTAAATTCACACTGCGCGAACTTTTATTTTTATCGTCTCATTGATGATTTAATCTTCAAGAGATAAAAAAAATGAAACAATGGATGACTAATTAGAACAATGACGACTGCGAAGTGCGAACGAAACTGACCTGCAGAAACCAGTGAAACCAGGAAAGAATTTAAGGAAAATGGGGAAATTCATAAAAATTCCCAAAACAGAAACACTGTTGCCAAATTTGTGAAAAAAAATTCTAATGCAAAAATATTTTTCTGAATTAGTTTTAGTTTTAACGAAAAATTGTAAACTTACCCGATTTTCTATGTAAAGAATAATTATTTACGTATAAAAAATACATTGTCAAAAAGAAATTAATTCGAGAATTAATTACATGGAAATGAAACGAAATTGAATTCAAATTTTTACCATTTTCGCGCCTTCAGATCACGTGTGTCGTAAACGAATTATAATTTTTTCGATAATAATTTTAATAAACAAGATTCATAATCACAGAGAAAAAAAGAAGAAACAATAATAAAAAAAACTAATTTGCGAATACAAATTTGAAAACCTTTTTTGATTTTTAAGAATAATCTTTCAGAAATATTGTCAGTGCCGTCAGTGGCAAGCGTGGCAAGTGGCAACACTGTATATTTAAATACGGAAACAGCTGTTCTAACGAACTTCCGCAAGTTCCGCACAATTTGAAATTCGGATATTTATTTTTGAGGTTAGAATCGTTAAATGTCAATCGTGTCAATATAGTCGCAACAACGTCAACAAGCAACAATGTAAACTATTCGTTTCGGTTTTGACATTTCACGGCAATTTTCAGTGTTTTTAATTTTATTTCCTAATTATAATAAATGAATAAATAGTCATTAAATATTTTTGATATTTTTTTCAAGTATTGTGTATTTTTAAAGTCAAGTGCGTGTTATAAATGCTTGTTAAAAAACATCCCCAATTTTTACGACATGTTTTCACTTTGACGATTTCAGAAAATACTGTTAGTAATTTAACGAACAATGGTTACAATCATCTTGACGATGTGACAAAAAATCCAGGTTATATTTATCACTATTATTACATATACAAAATGAAGTGCGGAAAAATTATGCTTTATTTTCGTTAGCCATTTATTAGGTATCAAAAAATTGACCATTTTCAATTCAATTATTATTATTTTCAAGATTTTTCAACTAAAATTCGTCTTTAAATCAATTATTTTGAATAATTTTCGAAAAAATTCTTTACTTTGACAATTTTCAAATCCATTTGGTGAAATAATTTCCAAAAAAAAAATTCAAGGAAACATTCAAAAATATTGGTTCTATAGTATTTCAAAGATTTTAATTTAAAACCTTTTCAAAATTCAATTATTTTTAAAAATTCACTATATAATGGTTTTAATATTCAATTATCTAAAATTTTAATTGAAATTCATTTTTAAATCAATTTAATTAGAAAACTCTACGAGAATTCAATTATTTATATATTTCTTTATTTTACAATCGCAATTAAATACAAACATTAATAATTTATTAAATAATTGAATGTTTCTCAAAATTGATAATTCTTCTAAAGAATTTTAACAACAAATTTTTAAATAATTTAATTCTTTCTACGAATTTTAATTAAATTTTTTTAAAATAATTACATTTTTCGAAGAATTTGCTTAAAATCTGTATTAAAAATAATTGAAATTCGGTGGTGAGTTTTATTATTTCTGAAAATAATTGAATCCCTCGATAACTTCTTTAAAATTATTTTTCATCATTTCAATAAAATTATTATTTTCTACAATTTTTAACTAAAATTCTTCTTTAAATCAATTATTTTTAATAATTTTTGAAAAAGGTCTTTGAGAAGGTTCAAATTATTTCTACAGAATTGTCAGTTAAAATTATGAAATATTCAGATTTTCAAAGATTTTAATTTAAAACCTTTTCAAAATTCAATTATTTCTATAAATTTACGCCATAATGCTTTTAATATTCAATTATTATGTAAAATTTTAACTGAAATTCATTTTTAAATAAATTTTTATCAGTAAATTCTACAAAAATTCAATTATTTATTTATTTTACAATCAATTAAATACAGAAATTAATAATTTATTGAATAATTGAATGTTTCTCAAAATTGATAATTCTCATAAAGAATTTTATCAACAAATTTTTAAGTAATTGAATTCTTTCGGCGAATTTTAATAACATTTTTTAGAATAATTACATTTTTCAAAATTTTTGATTAAAATTGTATGAAAAATAATTGAAATCTAGCCATGAGTTTTATTATTTCTGAAAATAATTGAATCCCTAAAAAGAATTTTATTATTTTTAAACATAATTAAATTTCTGCGAAGAATTTTATGACTCTTGATAATAATAGAATTTCTGAAATAAATTGTTACTTCTCCAGAATTAAATTATTATTTAAATTTTTTTAACCGAAATTCATTTTTAAATACCTAAATTTTTATTAGAAAATTCTACGAGAATTCAATTATTTAAATAGAAAAATTAAAAATTTATTCAATGATTGAGAATGTTTCTCGAAATTGAATTTTCATGAAGAATTTTATAAACAAATTTTTAAATAATTGAATTCTTTCGGCGAATTTTAGTAAAATATTTAAGAACAATTACATTTTTCGAGGAATTCGATTAAAATTGTATTGAAAATAATAATTCAAATTCTGCAATGAGTTTTATTATTTATGTAAATAATTGAATTCCTAAATAGAATTTTATTATTTACGAAAATAATTGAATTCCTGTGAAATGTTAACTTTTTTATGAAAATAATTAAATATTTGCGTAGAATTTTTTTTTTTAAATTTAAATAATTGAATTCTTTAGGAAAATTTTATAAAAATAGTAGATATTAAAAATCATTGAATTGAGGAAAAATTTTTGAAAATAATTGAAATTTTGCCAAGAATTTTATTAAAATTTTTGAAAATAATTGAATTTAGGAGAAGAATTTTTTTATTTTTAAAGACAATCGAAATTTTGACGAGAAAAAAAAGTGATGTGGAAAATTAGTTTGTGTCAATAATAATCAATTAAATCTATTAAAAATCCACATTTTTGTTTGACACTAAACCAACGTATTTAGCTTTAAATTAGTCTTCAAATTAGTTAAGTAATTTTTTTTCTTTTTTTTTCAGAGTCATATAAGCATCTGACGGAAAGAGAACTTGAACATCTAATGAGCACTCCTAAAATTGTGGATTCAACGGATTTATATTATGTATATAAATATTTTCTTTATTACAAATCTTTACAAAAATCATAAATAATTATAAATCGATTTTATGAAATAACGTTTTTTTATTTTTTCTGTCTATCTCTCTTTTTCTCTGCTCACTGTAGAAAGAACCCAAAATAGAAAAAATACGAATTCCTTCGAGAACACTTAATCAAATTTTGGATGGTGGATTTCATTGTGGAACAATGACAGAATTATGTGGAGGAATGGGATCTGGAAAAACACAAATTTGGTAAAATTTATTTATTTATTTAAACACTGTAAATTAAAAAAAATTATCTTGTTTGCTTTTTTCAATTTTCAATATTATTATTATTACTTGAAAACTCAATGAATTTCCATAAATTATATTCATGAATAAAATGATGAAAAAGTTTTTTTTTTATTTTTTCTCCTTTTTCAGTTTTCAAGCAAGTATTGCCGTTCAATTGGACAAAAGGTACGGTGGATTAAAAGGAAAAGTTATTTACATCGACACGAGAGATGGATTTTCTCCCCTTCGAGTTACAGGTAAAACTTATCTACAATTCAATTATTTAAAAAAAATTGATGAAATTCATCCAAAATTCAATTATTTTCATAAATAATAAAATTTCCACAAAAATTCAATTTAAAAAATTTTTTTTTTTGATAAAATTCTGAGGAAGAATTCAATTATTTTCATAAATAATAAAACTCATCGAAGAATTTCAATTATTTTTAATAGATTTTAAATTAATTAGTCGAAAAATTCAATTATTTTCACAAATAAAGTTTTCCAGAAGAATTCAATTATTTAAAATAAAATGTTCATAACATTTATTATATTTCGAAAAAATTAATTATTTAAAACAATGTTTATAAAATTCTTATAAAGAATTCAGTTATTTTCGAAAATAACAAAATTTTTCGCAGAAATTCAATTCTTTTTAAACATTTTAATAAAATTTTTCGGAATAATTTAATTATTTTTATAAGTAATAAAATTCTTCTCCGGAATTCAATTATTTTTAATACAATTTTACAGGAATTGCTCAAAAAATGTAATTATTCTTAATCAATTATTTAAAACAATTTTTTAATAAAATTCTTCCTCACAATTCAATTATTTACGTAAATAATTCTTCGAAAGAATTCAATTATTTCGATAAATAACAAAATTATTCCCGAAAATTCAATTATTTTGAGGCATTTTAATAAAATTATTTGCAAAATTCAATTATTTTCATAAATAACAATATTCATCATAAGAATTCAATATCATTTTTAAAAGTAATAAGTTTCTTTTTAGAAATTTAATTATTTAAAAAAAATTCTAATGGAATCGTTCGCAAGAATTCAATTATTTTCATAAATAATAAAATGCTTTTTAGGAATTTAATTATTTTCAAAAAAATTTGATAAAACACGACACAGACATTCAATTATTGTCAAAAATTTTAATTGAATTCTTTGTAAAATTTAATTATTTTTAAAAACTTTTCGCAATTCAATGATTTTTAATATCTTGTATTTTCATAAAATTTCCAATCAGAATTCAATTATTTAAAAACATTTTTGTAAAATTCTTCTTAAGAATTCAATTATTTTCATGAATAATAAAAATTTCTCAGGAATTCAATTATTTAAATTACAATTTACATAAAATTAATCGAAAGAAATCAAATTAAAATTTTTTTATAAAATTCTTTGCAAGAATTAAATTATTTTTATAAATATTTAAATTCTTTCATAAATAATAAAATTCAATTCAGAAATTATTCAATTTATTAGCAGGATAAGGAAGGAGTAAATATTTTTGATGAAAATTAGGAAAAATTTAGGAAAATAAAAAAATATGGAATGCAATTTTTGTCATTTTTTTGAAGTGTCTAAAACGAGTTTTTTTGATCGTCAAGTTTAATTTTTCGATAGCTAGCTTTTTACTTTCTTTAGTTTGAAATAGCTACATTTTTAAAATTAATTATCGAGTGCGAAATCTGTCAATTATGTAAAAAGATTTTTATAAAATTCTTCGCAAGAATTCAATTATTTTTATACATAATAAAATTCTTCTTAGGAATTCAATTATTTTAAAAAATTTTAATAAAATTCGTTGCAAAAATTCAAATATTTGCATAACTAATAAAACTCATCGAAGGATATCATTTATTTTTAATAGAATTTTAAATAAATTTCTCGAAAAATGCAATTATTCTTGAAAAATTTTATTATAAGTCTTCAAAAGAATTCAATTATTTTTAAAAATAATTGTGACATAATTTGTTTATTAGAATTTAAAAATTATTTTCAATCCATTTTTTAATTAAATTACTTGAAAGAATTTAAATATTTTCAAAAATTTTATTGAAATTTTTTTCTTAAGAATTCAATTTTTTTCAAAATAATTTTAACAAAATTCTTCGTAGAAAGTTAATTAATTTCCAAAAATTATTGAAATTCCATCATTTTCAATATTTACTATTTCAAAAAAATTCAATTATTAAAAAAATTTTTTATTAAGGGGGCATATACAGTCATGAGGCCATAAAAAGACGCTTTTTCTTGATTTTTTTTCTCTTAAATGGTTCAATATATTTATTCAAAAAGTTTTGCATATTATTCATAATGTTTTAAACAAGAGATTTTTATTTTTGTATAGCAAAATATTAATAAATTTCTTAGTTATGAACAATTATTTTTTATGAGTTTAAAAAATCGATCTTTAGCGTGGACACCATAACAGATGCCAGGATCATCTGAAATCAAAAAGCAAAAAAGATTTTGTTATTAGAGTCCTTTTTCTCGGGGGTGAACGAAGGATTTTCAAAAAAATTGAATTTTCGATTTTTTAGAGAAGTTTAAATTTTAACTAGTGATTTTTGTTTAAAAAAATCGACTATTTTTTTGTTGTAAAATGTGTTCCAATAATTGAAAAAAAAATCCTTCGTCCACTCCCGAGAGAAAGTATTCTAATAACAAAATCTTTTTTGTTTTTTGATATTAGATTATCCTGGCTTCTGTAATTGTGTCCACAGAAAAAAAATACAAATTTTTAAAATAATAATTTATAACGAAGAAATTGATTAATATTTTGTAATAAAAAAATAAATTGTTATTTTTAATAACATTACAATCAATAAGCAAAATTTTTTGAATAAAAATATTGAACAATTCCAAAGAAAATAAATAAAGAAAAAGCGCCTTTTTTTTGTGTTCATGACTGTATATGCCCCCTTAAAATTCGTCGCAAGAATTCAATTATTTTTAGAAATAGTTAAATTAATGTAGTTAAATTTCAAAAAGACTTTACTAATTAATTCCTGTGGAAAAATAAATAGGTAATTAAATATTTTTTTTTTTTTTAATTATTATATTTTTGAATGTACATTTAATTTAGAAATATTATGAAAAAATTGAGTAGTTAAATTTAATTTTTCGATAGCTTCTTTTTTACAATTTTTTTCAGTTTTAAAGCTACTTTTTGAAAATTAATTATTGAGAACGAGGCCTGTTATTTTGAAAATAGATTTTAATTAAACTGAATTGTAAAAATACAAAAATTGTAATTTTTAAAGTTTATCATACAATTTTCAAAGAGTTTTTTAATATTATCCACGGTAATAACTTTTAATTACAACATTTTTTTAAAAAGCAATTTATTGGAAAAATATATTTATTATTATTGAAAAACACAGTTTATTTATTACAAAAATAATTTAAATTAAACAATCTTATAATATACGTTGAAATTTCACTAATTTTAAATATCGATCTAATGAGAATTTGCTTTTGATTAAAATTAAAATAAATCGGTCGATCGCAATTTTAATAAATGTTTCTTTTGGAAAAGGAAACAATTAACTTTGAGTTGTTGTACATTTTGATTAGAAACTGTTTACTTAAATCAAAAAACAGTTACTATAAAAAATATATTTAAAATTTATTTTTCACTAAGTATAGATACTGTTTTTTAATTTTAAATTGAATTTTTTAAAATTGAAAAAATCAATTCTTGCTCGTTTGACAATTGTTATAAACAATTAAATGATCATTTTGATAAAACACCCCTTCGCTTTCAAAGTCCCTAAGAGGCGTCAAACTCGCAAATCTATTTGGTTGAAGTAAAGAAAAAAAATTCGTATTTACGTTATTCAAAAAGTTACATATTCTCTTGTGATCTTTAAGAGCTTCTCCCTCAGTATAACAAGTCATTACAAATGGCACATTTATTTCCGCTATTTTCAAAATCGTCAACTGCCACGTATCATTAAACGTTCCTGGATTTTCGTTTTCACTTATTCCCAAATTGTAGCCAACAATTAAATTTGGTCTTTTAAATACTTCATTTGTAAATTCATGATAAAAACGATTATCAATGACAATATTAATCAATTTTCCACATTCTTTACATTTCTCACAAAGAAAATTTGTCATTATTTCATTAATAACAAGTTCTGGACCAATGAAAACAATTGTCAATTTTTCAATTTTTGGCATCAAGTGGAAAAGAATTTCCCATGCGTAAATTCCATCAACTTCGACGAAATCTGATCCGATAATATGTACAATTAATTCAGTCTCTAATTCGTAATTGATTAATTTAATAGCCGACAATAGTGTCAATGGTCTCGTGAAATATTCAGCAATGAAAACTTGCCAAAAATCGGAACTAACAGCGACATTATTTTGACGACGTTCGTCAATGACTTGATGGAAAAAGCATTTGATAAATTGGCTCATTGTGGTGAATTCGACATTTTTGTCTGCGAATGGAATGCAATTTATTGGATTTCTATCGAGGAGAATGCAAACAATTTCTGAGATGCTCATATTGCTGGTAATGTTTTTTAGAAGGCTTAACTTGTAAGAGAGTTTAAACGATGGGCAAATTATTTTATGCCCCGCGTCCAAAATGTGTTCGTCGCAAAAGCATGAATTTCCACAGTCGAAACAATTTGTCAGTACTTGAGGATTACTCTCATGACAAATACAGCAAATTCTTGGAAATAAAAACATGCTCCTTTCACTAGATGTAAATTTTCGTCCAAGTTTCAATGAAACGATTAGCATTGTGTTCATTTTCAATTTTACCTGAAATAATAAAAAAAAATTAATCAATTAATTAATTTTTAGTATACAACTTATCAATTATCAATACAACATTTTTTATTTACAAATATGAATTTTTTAATAATTTTAGATTTAAACTTTAAAAAAATTCAATTATTACAGGCTTCACAGTCTGTCCCCTATTTCCCTAAAAGTCCCCTATTTTTTTCGTCGCAGGAAATCATTATTTTCAATAATTTTTAAGTAATTCTGCAAAAGAATTCAATTATCTTGATAACCAACAAAATTCTCCCCATAAAATCAATTATTTTAAAGAATTTTAATGAAATTCTTTTCCAAAATTAAATTATTTTGATAAATACCTATCAAAATTCTTAAGAATTTAATTAAATTCTTGTCAAAATTTCAATTATTTAAACCAACTTTAATAAAATACTTTGCACGAATTCAATTATTTTTATAAATAGCAAAATTTTTCGCCAAAAATTCAATTATTTTCAAAAATTTAAATAAAATTCTTTGCAAAATTTCAATTATTTTCAAAAGTTTTTCACAATTCAATGTTTTTAAATATTTACTATTTTCATAAAATTTATCAACAGATTTAATTATAGAAAAAACTTGTTGATACAATTCTACGAAACGATTCAATTATTTTCATAAATAATAAAATTTCATTTACGAATTCAATTATTTTCATCCCAGAATTTCAAATATTTTTAATATTATTTTTAATAAATTTTTTGAAAAATGCAATTATTATTAAAAATTTTATTAAAACTTGTGGAAAAAATTCAATTTTAAGGAACATTCAATTATTCAATAAAACAATAAATTTCGTTGCAATAATTCAAATATTTTCAATGAAAATATTTGAATTATTGCAACGAAATTCGTCGCAGAAAATCAGTTATTTTCAAAACTTTTTAAGTAATTTTGCAAAAGAATTCAATTAGCTTGATAAACAACAAAATCGCATAAATTATTTTCATAAAATCAATTATTCTAAGGAATTTTAATAAAATTCTTTTCCAAAATTCAATTATTTTGATAAATATCAAAATCCATTACAAGAATTCAATTCTTTTGAAAAGTAATAAAATCCTTTACAGAAATTAAATTAATTTCAAAATTTTTTAAAAATTCTCGTCAAGAATTAAATTATCTTTATATAAATAGATAAGGAAATTCTTCTCAAAAATTAAATTATTGTCAAAAATTTTTTTAAATTCTTCTCAAGAAGTCAATTATTTTCAAACATTTTAATAAAATTCTTCTCATGAATTCAATTGTTTTCCACAATTATTATTTAAATTCTGCTCAGGAATTGAATTATTTTTAAAAAATTTAATAAAATTCTTCAAAAAGTTTTCAATTATTTTCAAAAATTGTTATAAAATTGTTTAATATAATAAATTTCATTAAAATTTTAATTAAACTCCTTAAAAGAAATTAAATTTTTTCAAAAGTTGTTAATACAATTCTTCGTAAAAATTATATCAAAGAAATTTAAAAACACTAAAAAATTTTAATTTTTGAGAAGTTAAATGATTGCAGAAATTCTATTATTTTCAAGAATAATAAAATTCTTCGCAGAAATTTAATTATGCTCAAAAATAAAAAAAAAATTGTTAGGAAATTTAATTATTATTTTTATAAATAATAAAACTCATGGCAGAATTTCAATTATTTTTAAGACAATTTTCATCGAATTCCTCGAAAAATGTAATTATTCTTAAAAATTATTATTAAAATTCGTCAAAAGAATTCAATTACATATTTAAAAATTTGTTGATAAAATTCTTCATCAGAATTGAATTTTAAGAAAAATTCAATTATTTAATGAATTCTTTTTTTTAAATAATTGAATTCTCGTAGAAATTTCTAATAAAAATTGATTTAAAAATTACTTTCAGTTAAAATTTTAGATAATAATTGAATATTCAAAGCAATATAGCATGAATTTTTAGAAATAATTGAATTTCAAAGATTTTTGAAAAAATTGCATTGAATTTTTCATTATATTATTTGAAGTCTTTTTATTATTTAATTGAAGAATTTCAGAATAATCGAAATTTCGTAAAATTTAATTGTAAACAAATAGATTTGAAAAATCTTGAAGGACTTTTTTAAAAATAATAGATTTAAAGAAGAATTTTAGTTAATAATTCTAGAAAATTTAATAATTTAATTGAAATGATGAAAACAATTTTGAAGAAGTACAGTAACAATATTCTTATAATATAAAATACTGATTTTTTCACTGGGACATCTTTAATTATTATAAATTGTATTATTATATTATTCACTTTTTCAAAATGTTCAAAATTCAAAATGGCGGATCCAATATGGCGAACAACTTTTTTTAAAAATTGATCCGATTTGCATGAAACTTATTATTCGGGGGTTTTTGGAGTCGCTGATTACGAATCCAATGTCAGTTTTTAAAAATTCAAAATGGCGTATCCAATATGGCGGACGAATATTTTAAAAAGTTGAGCTAAGCTTTTGAAAATGCGACTACTTGGGGTTTTTTGATCGTTTATTACGAATCCGATGTTAGCTTTACAAATTTTTAAAAATTCAAAATGGCGGATCCAATTAAACAACCAATTAGCAATAATAATATATTATTTAATAATATAATTATTATTAATTATAACCCCTCAGTTAATTACTTTCAACTGTTTTCTATTCTAAAGAAAAAATACCTGGTGAATATATTTTTTTTGTTACAAGCTTAAAAATAATTCCCAATTTTAAATTAATTCATAACTTTTCGAAGGCGATTTGTTTTATTTCTCCACTTGCAGAATTTAAAAGTTTGGTTCTTAAAGTTATTATGTAAACAGAGTTTCAATACTGTGTTAAAAAAATTAAAAAAAATTTTATTGAAAAGTTGAAGGTTTTAGAGATAGGACATTAAAAAAACTTACCCAATTTTTTTTGTCTAATCCTTTTGTATTACCGAAAATACTATAACTGCCATTCGTTGAAATAATTTGTTTAATTATTTTACATAATTTCTTGTGAATTGGCCAATGTTTTGCTTGATGTTCAGTGTCACAATAGGAAATCATATTACAACTACTACATCTTTTTAAAGTTTTTTCCGATTTATCCAAATAATGACAAATGTGACAAGTGTTTATAAAAAAAGCATCATTCTCCTTGGTACCTTCAGTCCTTAACTCATTGTCCTTTAAGTGAATTTTTAACAATTCTTTTATATATTTTATTTCCTCCATTGTTGTCCAATTTTTTATTTTTTCATTTTTAGGGCTTAAAATTACTTCTGTTTATTTTATACTTTTTTTAATAATTATTTACATTCGTCTCAAATCCATGTGACATTGTTTATGAAAAGTTTTGAGGTTATGCTTCTTTTTCCGTCTGCTATACATTAAATAAAAAAGGCACGAAAAAAGGCCTCATTCAGATATACAAATTGCAAAAAGATTTAAAAATAAGAAAAACTTTTTTTAGAATTAATTTTTAATTAGGTTTTTGAGTTTTTTCTTTAATCTTATTTAATAAATGGTCATTTTGGTCATTTTTAAATTCACTAGAATCGAATCAAAATGCCGGGAGTGAGACTATAGTTACTGCCAATGAAAATTTACTTTTGTGAAGTTATTTATCGGCGATTGGTTAATTTCGTTACAATTTTCATGAGAAAAAGAGACGTAAAACATATTTATGCCAATCACGTTACCTAATGTTCCTAAGTTACTTTCGCAAAAAAAGGACGATTACATTTATGTTTCTATGTATATTTGCCCACTAAAAATACACTTAATTTTTTTACGATCATTTTTATCAGTACTTATTATTTAACCTTTAATTTTATTTTCGTTTCTGCAAAATTCAATTAATGCGACACTACACTTTTCTTACACTTCTTCTAAAAAAAAATGTCAATAAAATAATTATTGGGCATTTTTAGGACAAAGGGAAAAGGCCATAGAACATAGAAATAATATGTTTAAGTTCATTATAATAAACCTTGTGTCAACCAATCGCGGATCGATTTTGATTTTCTCAACTTTTGGAAAAAGCGCGTGATAAAAATGTTTATAAGTAATGAATTGCAAAAATAGCCGTTCAATGTTTTTAAGAATGTGATTTTTTTAAACGCAACATTGTTTAAATTCAGTGAATAAACAACGTAAGTATGATTGTGTAATTTAGCCTTAATTTTACAAATTATCTGTTTCTGAATATTTTTTCCTTTTTAAAATTTGTTTTTGGTATTTTTTTCAAATAAGCAAATATTTTCCTATTCAAACATAATTGCAAATATTTCTCGCTATTTCTATTTATTTTAAAAAGTAGTTTTTTTGAGGTTATAAAAAAATCAACGATCAAAATGGTGTTTTTTTAAAATTCAATTTCAAATTTTCATTTGTAGGTACAATTTAATTAAATTTTTGTCTAAAAGTATTTTTCAAAAATTATTTTTTTTCATTTTTTGTTTTAATTTTATACGATTTTTAAAAAATAATTTATAATATGAATAATGTTTGTTATATAGTTATGTTAAATTAAAAATAATTGTAAATTTTTTCAAGTTAGTTTAAGTATTAAAATTTTCTAACAAAAAAAATGTAACTATTTTCTTCGCAAACTTTCTTAAATTTTTGTTATTCATATGAGAAATTTAGCAATATTAAATTATCAAGAGATTAAATGCTTCGTTGCAAAAAATTATTTACAAAAAAAATAGTAAACAAACATTGTCATGTGTCAAAGGATCTTGAGTTTTATCACATGTCAAAACAAGAGGTTTGTTCTTAGTTCACAAATATAAAAAAAGATATTTTTGTAGATATTTAATTAATTAATTTGTTTTAATTCATAAATTAAAAAATTCTTTTATCTTTTTTTAAATTCAAAATTGATTAATTTTATTATTATAAATTTTTTAAACAATATTTATCGTACCTATAATATTTTTTTTATATTATTTTATTATTATTATTATTATTATTAGGTATTATTATTAAAATTTTATTAATTATTAATTTTTTTTTCAATTTTGTTATTTTTATTGTTTATGTTATATTTTTTTAACCTTAGTTTATGGATTTAAAAATATTTGCAATTCCAGTTTTTTAATTCCTTCAACTAGTTTATTGAATTAATTAAATTGTAAATTTTGTTGATCACATTTTTAAGTTTAATTGTTTTTTTTAGAATGGCAGACCATCAGGATTATACTGATAATCGTGTGCAAATAAAAACAATAAGAGAAGGAGATTATCTATTGATAGACTTAGTGAAACACAATTCTCATCTTTACAATAAGGAATTGAAGGATTTTAAGGATATTGAAAAACGAGAACAGACTTGGCACGAAATTGCTGGCTCTTTAAATATTTCTGGTAAAATTTTTTAATTATTTTACTTAAATTAAAAAAATCATCTTCTTCATTTCTTTATTTTTAACATTAATAAACAATTTTTCATTTTTATTTTAAATTTTAAACTATTTTTAAAAAATTCTTTATTTTAAATCTTTATTTTAACATGAATTGTATTCTTTTTAATCTATATTAATAATCGTTCCTAGAAAATTCAATTATTTTAAAAAAAATAATTGAATTTTTCACTAAAGAGTTCTATTATTTGAAAAAAACTTTTAATAAAATCCAATTCAAGAATTCAATTATTTTTAAAAATATAACGAAATTTTCGCTGGAATTCAATTATTTTAAATACATTTTTAGTTGAATTCCAAAATTCTTCGAAAGAATTCAATAATATCAATAAATAGTAAATATTTTTCACAGGAATTCAATTACTTTAATTAAATACAATTTTAATAAAATTCTTCTCAAAAATTCAATTATTTTTTTAAATTTTGCAAAAATTCAATTATTAGTAGAAATAATAAATTTTTTCGCAGGGATTCGATTATTTAGAAAAGTTTTAATAAAATTCTATTAAAAAATTCCATTATTTTCAGAAATAATTAAATTGTCGATATACTGAAAATCATTGAATTATTCTTGTTAAGTATTTATAAAAAAAATTTGAAAACAATTGAATTCATTTCAAGAATTTAATCCAAATTTTTTCAAATAATTGAATTTTTTCGGGAAAATATAATTGAAATTGTATTGAAAATAATTTAATTCTTCGCAAGATTTTTATTAAAATTCTTTAAAATAATTAAATTGTTTTTAAGAATTTATTTCACATTTCTTGAAAATAATGAAGTCTTTTTAAAATAATTTTTACTGAAAATTTTGAATGGAATTGAATTTTATAAAGAATTACTTTCGAGTTTTTAAAATAATCGTTAATTGTAATTAACGATTTTTCTATTAAATTATATTAAAATTATTTATGTAGAAAATTAAATTCTTTTAAGCAATGTTATTAGACTTTTCGTAAATAATTCCTACATTTTTTTTGAAGAATTTTATTAAATTTCGTAAAAATAATGTAATTTTTAAAAGTAATTTTAATTTTAATTGAAAATTTTGAAAATAATTGAAATTAACAAAGAATTTTATTAAAAACTTTTGAGAAACAATTGAATTGTTTAGAAAAATTTTATTACAATTTTTAAAAATAATTGAACCTTTTGGAGAAATTTTATTAAAAATATCTTGATTATAATTGAATTTTTTCTTAGAAATTTGATTAAAATTGTATCTGAAAATAACTGAATTTCTTGCCAAGAATTTTCTTATTTATGCGAAAATAATTGAATTCTTGCCGAGAATTTTACAATTTTTAAAAATAATTAAATTCTCTCGAAGGATTTTATCTGAATTTTTGAATTTTTTGAAAGGAATTTTATTAAAAATTTTGAAAATAATGATTTTTTAAAAAGAATTTCATCAAAATTGTTAAAAATAATTGAATTTATATAAAAATTCTTGAAAATAATCGAATTTAATTAACATTTTTAAGAATTATTGTATTATTTAGAGAAATTTTATTAAAATTGCAGTGAAAATAATTGAATTGCTCTAAAGAATTTTATTATTCATGAGAATAATGAAATTCTTGCGAGAAATTTTATTAAAATTTTTGAATAATAATAAACAAGAATATTTAATATTATGAACTTAATAAGTGAATTCTGTAAATTTTAAATCTGTAATAAATCATTTGCTAGTTTTATTCTAATTGAAAGAAAATTCTCATTTTAGTTAACGAATGTCAACAAAAGTGGGTGAGGCTAAGAGAAAAGTTTTCCAAGGAAAAAAGAATACAAGAGGAATTTGAAAGAACCGGAAATAATAAATTTAAATTATCAACTTGGCCGTTTTATGAAGAATTACGATTTCTCGAACCATTCATCAAACGGAGAAAGTAAGAAAAAAATTAAATAAACAAAAACAAAATTAAGTAAAAAATAAAAAAAAACTTTTTTTTCATTTTCAGCGTCTATCATAAATCGAAAAGTCTCGACTCGAAATTAATGAAAAATTCAATAAATGAAAATGTGAGTACAACACTTTTCAATGGTCAAGCGTTCACGCAAATAAAGCCAATTTCAACGACTGGAAATTTACAACCATTAGACTTTAAACCAAGTAATTTATCATTTGTCCAAGTGCCAAAAACAGTGATGGTTCAACTCGTTGGTTCGAATCATCAAAATCAAAATAATTCAGTACCAATAAAATCAGAGGCATTAAATGTCGGCACATCATTGCCAAGTAATGTTGAGGTTGTTTATCAAAATGAAGAAACAACATCGGAATCAGGGACTTCGATATCGGAGAAAGTTGAGAATTCCACTAAGAGACAAAAAAAACGAAAACGAAAATATGACGATTCAACGGAAAATATTATTACAAATATCACATCTGTTATTCAAAGGTATCTTGAAACGTGTAAGAGAAATGAAGATGCCGATGAAATATTTGGTAAACTAGTCGCTGGTGAATTGGCAAAGAAAATGGAGCCTGAAAAAACGAGACTGAAAAAATCGATTATGGAAATTATTTGGAACGATGATTTCGATAATAATGAACAATATTATCATTGAAATTTACATTCATTTCTTTTAAAAAATGATTTATTTTTCATCTTTAAATTTCAATGAAAAGAAAAATAAAGAAAATAATAGGAATATGAAAAAAAAAGTGTAAATACTTGCTGTATTTTTAGACAGAATATATAAAAGTGTGTAATAGATGATTACAAATATAATTTCTTTTTTTTTTAACATAACATGTTTCCACAGTTTTATTTCGTCAAATTTATAAAGTTGACAAGGAAAAAGTCAAACAGAAAAAGAGTTTAAATAAACACAATTTTTAAGGCATAAAATATGTTCAAAAATGGGAAGAAATAAGAGAAAATTTAACAAACTTTGCATTTTCTACTAAAATCTATACTATTTGAAAATTTGTTTATTTTATTTAGGCTCGTAAAAAATTTGGTTTTGTATTTTTTCGAGTTCAAGAAATATTTTTAATTTTTTTCCTTCTATTCCGTTAATAGATTTAATTTTAAGTTTTTGTAAAATTTAGTTATTTGCAAATAATTTTTCTATATTTTTCTCATTTTTCTTCAAAAACACGAGTTTTAAAAAAATAAAATCTGCAAAGGTTAAAATTTATTTATACAAAACTTGACGAAATTTACAATGGTTTGAAAAATTTTCAAACAATTATTTTCAGGAGATCATTTTATATTGAAAAAATTTAAATTCAAATTTTCCAAAAACCTGATTTTTTCTAAATTTCTAAATTAAATTATTCAAAAATTCATCAATTTCATTTAAATATTTAAATTTTTTATTGTTACTTATTTTCCTACAGGAAATTGAATTTGAAAAAGTTTCAATTTAAAACTTTTTGAAATTTAATTTATTTCTCAAAATTACAACCAGTGTTTCATTACAAAATTTAATTATTTTCTAGAATTTTTAACAAAAATTATTCAAAAATTTAATAATTTATTGAATTAAATGTTAAAATAATAAAGAACTATATCAATTGAAAATTTCAAAAATTTTTAATTTGTAACGTCACAGCTACTATTTGAAAATTCAACTAATTTCAAAAACATGTGAATAAAAATTTTTCAAAAAAAAACTAACTTCTTCAGAATTTTTTATTAAAATTTATTAAAATGCAGTTTAATTTAGTAATTAAATTAATCTATAGATTTTTATTATTTATAAAAATAATTTAATTCTTTCAAATTTTTTCTATGAATTTAATTAAAAATTAAAATATGCGTATTTCTTTAAATAAAAATTTTAACTTCCTTTAAAGAAAATATAAGCATTTTTCAAAATCATTTTTTAAAGAAAACAAACATTATTAAATTAAAATCGAATCATTTTTAAAAATTTCCATAAAAGCGATATGATAAAACATTTGAATTAATAAACAAATAAATTTTTGCAAATTTTAAATATTTTCTCTTGAAATTACCTAATATTTGTTTTTCCAGAAAATAACAAATATTTTTAATTTTAAAAGTAATGTATTGAAAATAATTGAATTCTTGCAAAGAATTTTATCAAAGTATTTGAGAATAATTGAATTCCTTGGATTAATTTTATTATTAATTATTATTATTATTTATTAATTATTATTAATTTTATTATTTATGAAAATAATTGAATTCTTGTGAAGAATTTTGTTAAAATGTTCAAAAATTCGAATAAAATTCTTTTGAAGAATTTCTTTGAATTTTTTTTAAAATAATGGAATTTCTCTAAAGGTGCTTCTATACCTCTGGTGGATTGGTCAAGCAATCGGCTCGATGAATTTTCACGGTCGGAAAATGTACTTTCATGGCGGGTATTTTTGAATAAGTAAATGTTGAAAAGGTTTTTACTTGAAAATTTATTTAAAAAAATGATTTTATCATAGAAATTCTTTTGAAATTTATGTTAAAAAACATGTTTTATTTTAAAAGTTATCAAATTTTAATTCAAAATGTTTTAATTTTCCAAAGAAGTGTAAAAAGCCTAATGTTTTTGAAATGCTAGTACAGACGGTACAGACTGTTTGTTATGAATGTACATAACCTAGCGTTGTGTTGTCGTGCTTGTGATATTATTATATTCTAAATTTAATGATTTAATTATTATTATATTAAATAATAATGAACAGACAACACAACGCTAGGTTATGTACATTCATAACAAACAGTCTGTACCGTCTGTACTAGCATTTCAAAAACATTAGGCTTTTTACACTTCTTTGGAAAATTAAAACATTTTGAATTAAAATTTGATAACTTTTGAAATAAAACATGTTTTTTAACATAAATTTCAAAAGAATTTCTATGATAAAATCATTTTTTTAAATAAATTTTCAAGTAAAAACCTTTTCAACATTTACTTATTCAAAAATACCCGCCATGAAAGTACATTTTCCGACCGTGAAAATTCATCGAGCCGATTGCTTGACCAATCCACCGGAGGTATAGAAGCACCTTAAGAATTTTAATTGAAAAATTTTAAAAAGTACACTGTAAAAAATTCTCATGTAAATTTACTACGTCCGACGTAGGAAAAGAAAATCACTACGTCAAGCGTGTAATTTTACAAATGGCTGATCATTTGACATAACCTGCATGTTATTTTACATGCTCAATGTTAAAATGGGTTGCTTCAAATAGCGTTCTGTTCAAAAACATGCCGCATGTAATTTAACTAATGCGTAATCTGTTAAATAATACTAATTGAAAACACTAAAATATATATACTAATAATAAAAACACAAAAAAGGCAAAATGTCGGTGTTGGCAGTTCACTTTATTTTGAGCATGTGCAAGCATCCATATAATATATTTAACTCCGCGCTAAAGGAAAAATACACGCGGCATGTAATCTTACATGCAATACAACGTAAATTTACGTATCCGTGGTAACTTTACATGACCATTGTAAATTCACAGAATAAAGTAAAAAAACAGACGAGTGTAATACAACATGCTGGACATAGTGATCAAATTTTCCTACGTCGGACGTAGTAAATTTACACAAAACTATTAAATTACATAGTCATATAAAGTAAAATTATTAAAAATAGTAAAACTACTTTGAAACTTAGTAAATTTACTACGTCCAGCCTATAATATTGCTGTGTAAAATTACATTCAGTATGTTTTAATACACCAGAATTTTTTACAGTGTAAAGTAAAGTAGGGGAATGTAGTCAAGGTTGGTCTACTGTCTAGGTAGGCCATCGCGATTTTTTGGACAAGTTCACTAGCGCCACCTACGCGCATGCTTGTCGAAGCTTGTCTTAGTGTAACCTAAGGTCGGTATTCATAGTCGATACTTATTTCTTAAGCAGCGACTTAAGCTGCCACCTAGATTCATAGTCGTGCAATAAGCATTGCCTTAAGCCGCAACTTAAGCATATGCTTGACAAAGTAAATGCTTCGATTTTGAGATGCATAGTCCCATCTTAAGAATGACAAGTATTCATAGTCAAATAAGATGATCTTATTTGACATTGCCGGTGAACTTATTTGAACGAATTGAGGTTATGATTTTAAGTCAACGTTTTACATGACTTAAGCAATTACTTATTGTCTTTTTATAAATATTTATAATAAAAATGAAAAGATTTTTTGTTAAAAACAATTTAATAATAATTAAAATTTAATAATTTAGAAAAAAGGTTCAAAATTTATAAAATTTTCACGAGAAATAAAAAGTATTTTTTTTTCATCGAAATGTTGGAGCGGTATTCATAGTCGATACTTATTTCTTAAGCAGCGACTTAAGCTGCCACCTAGATTCATAGTCGTGCAATGAGCATTGCCTTAAGCCGCAACTTAAGCATTTGCTTGGAAAAGTAAATTGTTCGATTTTGAGATGCATAGTCCCATCTTAAGAACGCCAAGTATTCATAGTCAAATAAGATGAACTTATTTGACATTGCCGGTGAACTTATTTGAACGAATTGAGGTTATGATTTTAAGTCAACGTTTTACATGACTTAAGTAATTACTTATTGTCTTTTTATAAATATTTATAATAAAAATAAAAAGATTTTTGATTAAAAACAATTTAATAATAATTTAAATTTAATAATTTAAAAAAAAGGTTCAAAATTTATAAAATTTTCACGAGAAATAAAAAGTATTTTTTTTCATCGAAATGTTGAAAAAACATTTCGATTTGGCCTTAAGAATGTGTCTACCAAATAAATGCATCCACACACATACATCTGGAGAATCTGTTCCCCATGTTGAAATATTTATATACACTATACTTGAAAATTTGTAAAAATAATTGATTCTTAGAAAATCGACACCCTATATGAGGAAATAAAACTGTTAATATTAAATAATTATTAAAAAAATATTATTTTTAAAAATTTTGTAGTTCCAAACGAAAGTTAATTGTTTCACCCCTTTTGTATGCACTCTTGGTTCATTGGTTTAGAAAAAAAAGATTTTGTTCAAAAAGTTGCAAAAAATTCATTGTACAATAACTTTTTTTAAACAAAATTTTTTCTGTCGTTTGTTGGCGTTTAAGAGAGACAATGGCCAAATAAAAATGTTTTTTTTTCATTTCGATTATAAAAATACTCCTTATTTTTTGTAAAATTTCACTGATTCTGACTCAGAATAATTTTTTTAGAAACAATATAATAATAGTTGAAATAATTTTTTCTACCTTTTAATATAGAAAAATTTAGAATCTAAATATAATTTTTCGTCAGGAATAAAGAATATTTCAATTTTTCATCATTCTGGTAGTCATTTTTTGTATCCTTTTACTTTATAACTTTTTTCCTAAAAATATTAAAATATTATGCATATTTTTAAGTTTTTTTTACCCCCCTCCTCTCCATTATAAGATATTTTATGTGCATTAGCGTCATTTTTTCTAATGAATATAAGCTATCTACCATCGCTTATTGGTAGATACAAGAGAATATTGACGGAAAAAGCCGAACGCTCAATAAGATCATCTTAAGCATTTGCTTGGTCAAGAAGTTCTTAAGCTGCATTTCCTTTACCAAGCAGTTGCTTATTTTTGACTATGAATACATATGGTCTTAAGCTCGACTCATTCGAATAAGACCGACTTGATCAAGCAAAGCTTAAGTCCTTGCTTAAGTCGGGACTATGAATACCGCCCTTGAAAAAACATTTCGATATGCATCCACACACATACATCCGGAGAATTTGTTCCCCATGTTGAAATATTTATATACGCTATACTTGAAAATTTGTAAAAATAATTGATTCTAAGAAAATCGACACCCTATGAGGAAATAAAACTGTTAATATTAAATAATTATTAAAAAATACTATTTTTAAAAATTTTGTAGTTCCAAATGAAAGTTAATTGTTTTACCCCTTTTATATGCACTCTTGGTTCATTGTTTTAGGAAAAATAAGATTTTTTTATAAAAAGTTGCAAAAAAATTCATTTTACAATAACTTTTTTTAAACAAAATTTTTTCTGTCGTTTGTTTGTTAGAGACAATGGCCAAATAAAAATGCTTTTTTTCATTTCGATTATAAAAATACTCCTTATTTTTTGTAAAATTTCACTGATTCTGACTCAATAATTTTTTTTAGAAACAATATAATAATAGTTAAAATAATTTTTTCTATTTTTTAATACAGAAAAATTTAGAATCTAAATATAATATTTCGTGAGGAATAAGAATATTTCAATTTTCATCATTCTGGTAGTCATTTCTTGTATCCTTTTACTTTATAACTTTTATCCTAAAAATATTAAAATATGCATATTTTTCAGTTTTTTTGACCCCCCCTCCTCTCCCTTATCAGATATTTTATGTGCATTAGCGTCATTTTTTCTAATGAATATAAGCTATCTACTATCGCTTATTGGTAGATACAAGAGAATATTGACGGAAAAAGCCGAACGCTCAATAAGATCATCTTAAGCATTTGCTTGGTCAAGAAGTTCTTAAGCTGCATTTCCTTTACCAAGCAATTGCTTATTTTTGACTATGAATACATACGGTCTTAAGCTCGACTCATTCGAATAAGACCGACTTGATCAAGCAAAGCTTAAGTCCTTGCTTAAGTCGGGACTATGAATACCGCCCTAACTTTTTGTTCAATTACATTTTCACCCCCGTGAAGTTGGCACCGAAACTTTGAATAAATCAACTTTTTATTGTACAAAACGTTTGTTGGTCGTTTGATAGTGATTGATAGTCGATATTAGACGTTTGATAGCAAAAAATAGAGAAATTATAGAGAATAAAAAAAAGGGTGCTATTTTCACGGTGCACCCCAATTTCAATGAATGTTACTATACTTCTCATTAATCGTTTGTTGCTTGTTTGATAGTCACTGATAGTTTACACAGAACGTTTGATAGCCTCTATTTTAAGATATATCATCATTACTTAAAACATGTGAACTTCCTGCAATTATCAATACGCGCAAGCGCACAAGAGTGAATGGCGGTAAATTCAAAAACTGATTAATGACATGTCATGCTTTATTACTAGTTCCAAACAAGTTATACTATTATAAGTTGTGCTGAAAAATTAGAAAAAACAATGGAAACAAATAAAATTAAATATTTATTAATTTTAATTAAAAGAAATATAATTAAAATTATACATAATTATCACCTAGGGGGTGCAAACTTCGCGCAGCACCTCAAATTCAAAATTTTTCAATTTTCCCACTATTATTCGTTTGTTGGTCGTTTGATATTGATTGATATTCAATTTCCAACGTTTGATAGTTGATATTTACCTTATATTAACAGCATTTTCATTAAAACAGAAAATTGACGAAAGCGCAGGTGCAAAGTAATGTTAATTTCCGTTAAATAGTTTTTAATAAGCAGTTTTTCTCTAACTCTATATTCAAGTCATGCTTTTATATTTAAACATGTAAATCAACTAATTATTTTGCAAAGGGGTGTCAACTTCACGCGGCACCTCAAATTCAAAATTTTTCAATTTTCCCACTATTATTCGTTTGTTGGTCGTTTGATATTGATTGATATTCAATTTCCAACGTTTGATAGTTGATATTTACCTTATATTAACAGCATTTCCATTAAAACAGAAAATATTGACGAAAGCGCAGGTGCAAAGTAATGTCTATTTTTGGTAATGATACCCGTTATATATTTTTTAAACAGCTATAGATTGTTGCAGATGACTTTTAATAAAAATGAATTTAATGCTTTTGGTTTTTTAACTTATTCAGTTTTATATATTTTTATTATTAATCCGCAAGTATGTACTAAATTCCTTCTATATCTCAAGTTAAATATTTTTCTATTTTTTTTGGGTATACTCGAATCTCTTCATTACATAATTATATATAAATATATACATAAATTTTTTCCGAAATCTCAATACCTCTTGATATATTATCGTTATATAAATATATATTTATTTTATAGAATATACATATAATAATTGTTTTAACGATCTTTTTAAGAAAACAGATTTATAAAGTTTTTCGAAGTCTTAATGATACTATTACGAGGTATAGAACTTTTGATATAATATCGTTATATAAGTAAATATTTATTATATAGAATATGTAAAATAATTTTTGTAACATTCTTTTTAAGAAAAAAGATTTATAAAGTTTTTCGAAGTCTTAATGATACCATTACGAGGTATGGAACTCTCGATATAATATCGTTATATAAATAAATATTTATTATAAAGAATATGTAAAATAATTTTTGTAACATTCTTTTTAAGAAAACAGATCTATAAAGTTCTTTCAAAATCGTAAAGCTATACCTCTTGATATATTATCGCTATATAAATATATATTTATTATATAGAATATATATAATAATTTTTTTCATCCTTCTTTTTAAAAAACGGATTTATAAAGTTTTTTCGATATCTTTCTTAATATTATACCCTTATGTATATTACTGCTGAAGGCTTGTATTCCGTATTGTAGTCTCGTGCAGTGAATGGATGAACTTCTGTTTCGTAGTCATTATATCTTTTCCAATTGCCGTTTATCCTTCTACACAGAGCCATGTAATGATTTTGTGAATTCCGGTGGACTATTCCAGTCAGCCTGTAAATAGAAACATTTTCATTGTATTCTTAAGATTCACTGGAATTGAAAATTATGTTTCCTGAGAAAGAAATAAACAATTTACTGAAAGAAATTAATTGTTATATAATATATATATACTCACACACAATATTGTGTGAAGGTTTAATATTTATTAATATTTTCAAAATTTGAAAATTTATGAATATAAATTTTAATAAGGAATTTTTAATTAGTATTTTATAGTAATATGATAGAATAAATTTATAATCACATCATACCTGTAGGTTTCTGTTAGCAGAGTCAGATAAATCGGAAAATCTTTGACTTTACAAGAAAGATGTTTTTCATCTTCTGCTTCTTTGATCTCAGTGTCAATCATAATATATGAGTGTTGTATTCTATTTTTAATGATTGTATAAGAAGATCACAGTTTTCGTTGTCACATGGTTTATTACAAATCCCTTCATGCAATAAACTTTTATGCAGAGCTTTGAAACAACATTCGATTATAATTTTGTGATTGATCCTTAAATACGAAATCTCTTCAGTCTTTTCGTGACCGCACAAGCATTTTGAAAGTCGGAAAATGCTTGGTTCTTTCAACATAAGATAACTCCACATGGTTAATATTTTTGTACGACAACTTATGGAATGCAAAATGTTTGGCGATGTTAAACCTACTGCTATACGGTCGGTTTTTTCGGTTTCTGGATTATCAGAATCAAAAAAGTCCTTTAAAATGGAGCATCTTTTAATGTAAATACTGCTATTTATTTTGAGACATTCAACGATAAGCAAAATGAATTGCAAGATTTCATTTCTAGAATTTTTGATATGTTGTAAATATATTGGCGCGTCTTCAAAACCTATTGATAAGATTTGAACAATTGTGTCGAAGGTACACGTGTTTGTAATTATATATTTTTGGTTGTTCAAAACAATGGGGCTCAAAGTCTTGCTTCCATTTCTCAAAACTTTTATTGAAGTCTTCTTTTTAGTATTATTACCCAACGCAACTTCAGTTTGTCTGACATGTATGTCTGGACATGCTTTGAAGAATTTTTATGGTTTTCTTTGTACTATGTCATTTATTTTATTTATTTTTTTTTTTATTTTTATATTTTCTTGATGCTTTTTTAACAGTTACTGCCACTGGAGAAATTTTAATGGTTTTATTAAATAAGCTATCTTCTTTTTCTAATTTGTTACGCCAGTTGTCTTTTTCTTTTAAAAGCGAATATGGATGCTCCAAATACACACTTTCATTATGTTTAATATCGTCCATTTTATTTTTCAATTCGTCTGTCAATGTGACTCTTTTTAAAGAACTAGCTGCATCGTAATCTTCAAAATAATTTATATTTTTGCTAAATGCAGCTTCATCGGAATTTCCTAACTGATTTTCATCCCTAATGTATACTGCAGCTGAAGGTGTGTAATGCTTTTCGTAGTCTCCTTTATGAAAGGGTTGAACATTTTCGTTTAAATCATCGTGTTTTTCCCAGTTTCCGTCTACTCTTCTACATAAAGCAAAATAATGACCTGGCAAATAACAGATGATTCCAGACAACCTGTAAATAAAAGTGTTTTTACGTAATTAAATTTACAAAACATAAGATAGTAAAGATAATTTTATCTAAATAAGATACTTAAGTAACAATGTTATTATTAACTAATAAAAATAAAAGGAAGAAAAGTTTACAATCATCATACCTGTAACTTTTTCCATGTAAAATTAGGTGAGCTGGAAAATCGTCAACTCTACATGTAATTGATTTCCTTAAATCAATCATATCTCTGACATCGGTTTCGATAATAATATGCGAATTGTATTGCAATTCCACCGATTGTGAAGAAATATCACAGTCTTCGTTGTCGCATTGTTCATTGCAATTCTCTTCATTCAATAAACTTTTTTGCAGGACTTTGAAACCACATTCGCTTATATTTCTGTGATTGACCCGTAAGTACGGAATCTCTTCAGTTTTTTCGTTACCGCACAAGCATTTTGAAAGGCGGAAAATGCTTGGTTCTTTCGGCATAAGATAATTCCACATATCCAACAAATTTGAAAAGCAATTTATTACACGCTCATGATTAATTCTCGATTTTACTATTTCCGTTCCTTTGGTTGGTGGTCTTGCGGGGTCAATAAAGTCTTTTAAAATTGAGCATCGTTGGTCATAAACAATATCTTCTGACCCTCTTTCGAGAAATAATAAAATAAATTTGCAAGTTGGATTTGTAGATTTTGCAATATGGTTAAAATATTCCTGTGAATCTTTAGCACTCGTTGCTAAAATTTGAATCACTGAGTCACAGCCACACGTGTTTGTAGTTGAGTACGTTTGCGTTTGGTTATTAATCGTGCTAGATTTCACGAAGTTTCCATTTTGTAAAACTTTTATGAGTTCTGTTTGAACCGCTTTAGTGTACGGTCACATTTGTATTTTAATTTGTAAATTGGCGTTATTTTACACGCCATAATTCTATGTGTTAAATCAGTAAATTTGTGAACTTAGAGCATATTTTAAATAAATTTGTATTGAATCTGTCCCTTTTGTCAACAGGATTGTTTCTTGTTAACTCAATTTTATTTATTTGTGAGATTGTGTTGAGTATTTTATGGCGACATTTTGCCCATTTCTCTAGTATCCACTTATTTTCAGTTTTAGACTCAAGCAATTAATAAGTAATTTATGCAGTCAAATAATACCAAATTAGTCTATTTGTACTAAATTCTAAGTTGGTGCTTTTATAGGAGTATTTAAAAAAGAGTATCATACGTTGTCCGGTTTTTTATTTTTGGAGTTGGAATTGCTTGCTGAAATACGTATTTTGCCTTAGCACGTGCTTAACCTCAAAATAAGGCTTGGAATTTATAACCTCTTTGGAAAAACCAATTTGGAGTTTTTGGAGTCACAGAGGATGCCAGCGTATTTCTGGGTTTGATTTTGAGACTGAGGTTTTGCCTTTTTTTCCACTTTTGGTTAATAGGAAGTGAATTGGTTCGCTTAGGTGAGCTAGAAAATTTATTTTGAATATTGATTTTATACTTTGACTTTTTTTTCTAAGTACTTGTGTGATCTCTGAAATATACATGAGGTTCTAAACTTCATCTGAAGTTTGGTCGGGGACGTAAAGTTCCCTCAGTTAATTGAAGTTTTAAGTCATTAATTTAATTGAGTCTGTCAATTTTATGTATATTAAGATTCATAAGAGCTTAACCATAAATTGCTTGTTTTCTCTTGCATTAATTAAAATTTAAAAAGGAAAAGGAAAATTTTTTGTGGATAGTATATCGTTCTTGTGTTTTTTTAGGCTGTCGTTCCAAAATAAGAACATGTCGTTCAATGGAAGACCGGGTGGATTTCGTCAGCCAAGACCACTAATAATGCCTTCTCGTTTGGGTCAGGATACCTCTTTTAAATCAAACCCCCAGAATTCGAACATTATCTTGAAACACTCCTATGATAGTGAAAGAAAGAGACAATTGTCATCTGGTGCTATCATTAAAGTGGGTGATCCATCTCAGAAAAAGCCTAAAACCGGTACTTCAGTTGGTGAGAAACCAACTAATTCTCCCCCTCCATCTGATCAATCGGAACAATCCCCTCAAAATTTACAGCAGAGTACTTTGCAAGCCCCATTAACAGCTAATGTGGCTTCGAATGCTGGTGCTGTGACAGATGCCGATAACTCTGTTTCTCAAATTCCCGAGACAAATACCACTGAATATTTTCTTTGGAAGAGAACAGTTTCAGAGGTTTTGGAAAGGTTCAGTTCTGAATCCCCTCCCCCATTTATTGTTCTCATTGAATCGTTGGATCCAAATAGAAATGTGGGTAAAATGAAGAAGATTGCAGTGGGCATTCTGATAAGTAGTATCATTTCTGGACACAAGAGAATTACTCCAAATGGCCAGAATCAATTGAAGGTTTTTTGTAGTAAATGGCAGGATGCCAATATCCTTGTTGATTCTTCAGTTTTGGTAGAGAGGGGCCTTAAGGCTTTTATTCCTTCTTCTCTTTTTAATCGCCGTATTTTGGTTACAGAGGTTGATGTTGACTTGGGCGCGGGTGACATATTCGATTTGCTGGATCGCTCCTTTCGTTCGCAAGTTTTGGAGATCCGTAGGAGAACAAAGTATCGTCCTCAGGATAAGAATGGTGGGGTTAAGGCTAATCCCGAGCCTGTGGACATGATAGAGATGACTGTGTCTGCTCATAATGTCCCTAAGACCATCTTTATCGCTAATATAGCTTGCTCAGCTATCCCAATCATTCCATGATAGAGATGACATGATAGAATTCCATGATAGAGGACATGATAGAGATGACTGTGTCTGCTCATAATGTCCCTAAGACCATCTTTATCGCTAATATAGCTTGCTCAGCTATCCCAATCATTCCTCCACCTAAGAGGTGTTTCAATTGTCACAGGTTCAGGCATATTACGAGACAATGTAAAAGCTCAAGACCGATATGCGTCGCTTGTGCAGATTTCCATGAGGAGGAGAATTGTCATAATAAGTTGAGGCCTGCTCTGTGCTCTAATTGTGGTGGCAACCATCTTGCCTCCTCAAAGGATTGTCCCGTATATGCCTTTGAGTTCGAGGTTATGCGGGTCAGATTTGAGAATTTTTGTGGCTATGATGAGGCGGATTCTATCCTTGAAGCTCAAGGCATCACTAAGCCACGCTTCCCAGCAGCAATCATTCGTAATCTTCAGGAGATATCTCTTCGCAGACCTCAGGTAGGACAGTTTGGAGATGATAATTTGAGTGGAGGGAATACTTTCCCCCCACCAGCTATCCCGTCTGGAAGTGCCTCCACAGATTTGAGTTTTGCTGAAATTCCTGATTCGGACTCCTCTGAAAAACTACTATCGGCAATTTCTCAGTCGACTGAGTCTTCAAAGAACACATCTCTGGTGGACATGGAGTTGTGAAGGAAGGGAATTCTTCTTTTTTTCATGTATTTGTTTTCTGTTTAGGGACTTTTCGTCCCTGGCCATAATTTTTGGCCTGTGGATTGTTTTTGTCTGAATTGACAACGTTTTGTCAGTTTTGTCTATTGGAAACTAATTTCTTTTCTACTTTTTTTGGTTATTTTGTTTTATTTAAATCAAGTATAAATTTTTTCTTACTTGATTTGAGCTTTGTTATACATAACAAATGACTCAGCACAATCTTACATGGGGCCTCTGGAATGCCCATAGTGTGGTCCATAAAAAAGCAGAAGTGGAATCAATTTTATGCACGCATCGTGTAGATGTTCTATGCATATCGGAAACATGGCTTATGCCGGAATTGAATTTTAATATCTATGGCTATTCTACTCACAGATCTGATCGGATTGCTGGAAGAGGAGGCGGGGTTCTTATTCTAGCCAGGGATGGTTTGAAGATTGAGTTAGGGAAGGTACCAATACTGTGTGGAGGGGAAATTTATCTTTTGTCTATGAATGTGGAGACTGATCTGGGTCTGATTTCCTTTCTTTTGGTGTACTGTCCGCCCAATGTGCACACTGAATTTGATGACTGGCTGGCAATCTTCGACCTTATCAATACCTGTTCCTTTCCGATTGTATGCGGCGACTTTAATGCTCATCATGAGTCTTGGGGAGCATCCCACTCTGAATTGAGAGGTAGACATCTTTCATCTGTGGCCTCGGACCAGGGTTTTGTCGTTCTTAACGACTCGCTTCCAACTTTTTCTCCATTTGATCATCGTAATCAGTCTAATCTGGATTTAATCTTTACTCTCTCAGAAAATCAACATTTGTTTTCTTGGGAAGTCACTGGTGACAATTTTGGCTCGGATCATATTTTGATCACTTCCTCGCTGTCCTGTGATATAAGTTTCTGCTCAGCATCCTCGATTAGATACAACGTAAAGAAGGCCGATTGGTCTATTTTTCAGCACCAGGTCGATGAGATTGTACCTGGATTGTCTAATTCGCTAGATTTGGGTGAGGATCCTGTGAGGATCTATGATGCTTTTGTTGCTGGATTGGTGGGAGCGGTTGAAGCCTCTGGGGGCTTTCTCCCATCTAAGAATTCAAAATTTTGTAAATCACGCCCGTTATGGTGGAATGAGGAGTGTGATGATGCGATTGGGAAGAGGAGGGAAGCTAACAGGGCTTATTGACCAATCGAGGGAGAATGAGGAAGAGGCGAGGAGAGTGGATATGAAGGTCAAGTGGTTCCTTCGTAATAGAAAACGGGAGTCCTTTAGGAGTATGTGCAGTGAACTCACCCCGGATGTTGGTCTTTCGAAAACATGGTCTGTTGTGAGATCTTTGAAGAGTGGCCCTATGCGCCCCCGATCCAATTATTGTTCATCTTCGAGTCCGGAGATTAAGAAGCTGCAGGACGAATTGGTTTGCGAGGAGGTTCCTCCTGTACAGATTCCACGCCTTCCGTCTGTTGATGTTAACAATATCTATAATGCCTCTCTTTCCCGGCAGGAGTTTCGAGCTGCTTTAATGCGGGGTAATGTCAAATCTGCCCCGGGTATGGACTACGTCACATGGGAATGGTTGAGAGCCTTATCATTGAAGGCTCAATACTTTTGTTTAAAGTTGTTTAATGTTTTTTTTTTGCGCTCTGTTTTCCCTGAATCTTGGAGAAACACAAGAGTAATTTTTCTCCCAAAACCTGGTGGAAAGGGTTTTAGACCCATCTCTCTAACTTCAGTTCTCTCCAAACTCATGAAGAGAATGATACAACGTAGATTGGAGCATTTCATTGAGCAGAATAATATAATTCCTAACTTTCAGTTTGGTTTTCGTCGCAAGCGTTCTTCTTTGGATTGTGTGTCAACAGTGGTGACGGATATTTTGCAAGGTTTTGGTCAGGGATATGTTACACTTGCTTTGGCCATTGATATAAAGGGGGCATTCAACAATGTTCGACCTCTGATTTTGAATACAAAAATGCGACAATTGAATGTTCCGGGACGTATTGTGGATTTTGTTGCCTCTCTTACTGAGAGAAGGGAGCTTTTCTTCCCTAACTCAGTGGAGGGTAGAACCTGTTGTGTGGGTGTGCCGCA